CTTTGACTCCAAACACCAGCTCGGTATGAAGAAAGCCAAATGTGTGAATGTACAAAAGAGTTCTCTCCCCGACCCCCACCTCCCCCGCTGTAAACTCCACCACCCACAGCTGCACAGGCTTCTCCTGTCACGGTGATAATCTCTTTGTCAGGAGCCGTCTGTTACAGATTTGTCCGTCTGATTCGCTGAATGTCCGAGTGGCAGGTCTGGCTGTAGTGCCACAGGGTGTCCGAGGGTGTGTGTGTGTGTGTGTGTGTGTGTGTGTGTGTGTGTGTGTGTGTGCACCCACTGCCATAGGTGGTGGGATCTCTGTCCCTGTCAGAGTGTGTATGTCGCTTGTCTTCAGAGCTCTGTTTAGTGACAGCAGAGGAATGTTAGGAGGACCAGGAACAGATACAGATACAATAGGACGTGTTTTCATTTTATATTCAAAAGCTAGTTCAATATAATATGCTCTTACTTCTTGATTATATCCATCTTTATGTTTCCTAATTTGAAATCCTATTTGACTCTGTGTCATACAATGGTTGACTCAATGGGTAATATTAAGGAGGTTTAAATTCCCCTTCAAAAATGTGTCACATTGGAAAATGGTCTTCCACTAGATGGCTCTGCTTTCTGCTCACAAACACCTCTAATAGCTTTGCTCCAAAATTAACAAGCAACATGGAGAGTCATGTCTCACCTGAATTAATGAAAGTAATTATTTATTATTAAAGTTTTTCAGACTTGATGTAAAAAAAAAGATCAAGAACTGATAATAATCCAGCAGACCTCAAGTAGATATTGAAATCGTTTTAATTGTGATGTGCAAATGTTACAAAATCAGAGTTGTAGTTCTCTGTTGACCTGATAATATTTTATCTATCTGTCTTTAAACCTGCACAATAACTTGATGTAGAACAAAAAAGCACAATGCTTCCTTTTCATACTGATACAATTTTCTACTTTAAGTTGGATGCAGCACATTATGCATGGGGCTAACACTTCCACAGCTTCCTACATATTCTTTTTTTATACCAAGGGCAGTTTGCCGTTTATAGATAAAATGTGTTGTTGATGAGATGGCGCTTTTAACTTGTAACGTGTTGGACTTTATCAGTTTCTCACGGGAAAAACACTTGCCCACATTCATGCAGACGCTAGATCAAGGTCAAACATTTCTAAATTTGATCTAATGGTGTTGTCTTTGTTTTGAGCAGCACTGTGTCCTCATCATAAAGTATCTAAAATAAAATGTCACTATCACCTCTTTGCAGGAAGGTCAACGAACATCACTTTGAGGACACGTTGGTTTACAAGGACATTGTTGTGCTGTCTGGTTATCGGACTGCCAGGTGTAAAATGCATCAATCACTGTTCATATTCATCAAACTTATATTTGTCATACTTTCATGGAACACCAAAGATCATTGCTTGACACTGAATGATATGTTGCTATTGATTGCAATCAAACATGGCCTCATACAGAGTTGTTATAAGATGAGAGAACTTTATTCTTTAGTTCTCCGTATACATGAAAGCTAATCTCAAATCTGACATTGCAGTAATTGTTGGGATGAGTTATTGTTTGTCAAAGCTCCTTTTCTCTCTGTTGCCTTTCATGTCTCCCCTCCCGACACCTTCCCCTTCCTCTGTCTGTTGTTTGGTCCTCTCTTGTCACTCCACTGCAATCATCCTCGCAGGGGGCCTTGTCATCTGTATCTACTCATATCCTACCTTCCCTTTTGCTCTGAGCACTACTGCACTTAAATGTCAGGGCTGATGAGCCGGCCACACCCACCTGACACATCAGCTCAGCGCCTGCTAAAAGCTTTTATGGACCAGAGTGTGAGCCCGGTGGTTGATATAAATTAAAGCGTTCTCTACTTTTCTTTTCTTTTTTTTTCTTCCCCAGGTATTTTATTTCTAAAGGGACAACTTTTGGTGAGAAGAGAGAGAGAGAGAGAGAGAGAGAGAGAGAGAGAGAGAAGACATTGAGGGCATTGATTGGTTGCCATCTAGTGGCTTTCAGAAGAACTTGCTGCAATAATATGTTTTAAGCAAACTCACTAAAACTTACATTTCACACTTTTAATGACAAAGCAATTCATTCAGATTTCTGCTACACTCCTCTATTATAAATCACTTCCTTTTATTTTATTTCAATGTTTACAATTTAATTGTTCTTTTAAATATAATTTCATATCATAAATAAAAGTGTAAATGTTTGTTTGTCTCTATATGTCAGCCCAGTGATTGACCGTCAACCTGTTCAGGGTGTACCTCACCCAATGACAGATGGGATCTGCTCCGGCTCCGCACAACTCAGAATAGGATACAAATCATAGATAGATGGATCTTAAATAAACTCTGCAGCTAACATCCATCGGGATCTGACAATATGTTTTTATGTGAAATGACATACATGTGTTTAGCTTTGGATTAATTTTCTTTAAGGTGTGATAATAAACATGGTGACAACAACTGCAAAGAAACAACATAATGGCCTGTAGTTTTTATCCATTTTTAAAATGAGAAACTGTCAGTGTTTTATATGGCAGTAATAATTTTCTTATCTGATTAGATTATTCTTCCTTTATAACAGCATGGTGTTGGATATGCTTGTCTTTACTATTGCAGCCCTGTTCAACCAGACGTTGCACCTTTTTGTCTTCTCTTGCCTCATATTGTTGCTCATCATTCATTTTTTTTAAGGATATGTTTTGGGCATTTTTGCCTTTATTAGTAGGACAGCTGTGGAGAGACAGGAAATACTGGGAGGAGAGAGAGGGGGACGACATGCAGCAATGAGCCGAGGTAAGAATCAAACTCACGGCCGCTACAATGAGGACTATAGCGTCTGTACATGGGACGTGCAACATAACCGCTAGGCATTCGGCGCCCTCGTCATTCATTTTTTTAACAATGCTCAAATGTTTAACACTACTCCCTTCAGCTATCAGGCTGCTGAATCATTCTAATTGACTTACTGTATGGACTGTTGAGGTAACCTCTAAGGGCCATTCATTTTATGTATCCAAGACACTTTCCTGCTGTTGTATTTATGAAATTCTAGATTGCTAGCGCTGACCTGTTCGTCTGTTGAATTGTTGTTCCTGACATGAGAATGTGATTGTCTGAATGCTGCTGTGATGTGTTTGTTTCCTTTATGTTGTCTTGGTTTCTCTCAATGACTCAGTAGGCTGTGAAACTGAATTGCCCTTCTGGGATTATTAAAGTTGTCTGAATCTGAATTGAATTTGACACTTCTCCTGAGGTACTAAATTCCGTTTAGCGGCTTCTGTTTCAGGCGACTGATGTTTTAACTTTCATGGTTTAACCAGACACTTCAGAAGTCAAATGTCTGCTGTGAAAAACAAAGTTTTTATAATCTAATCTCATCTAAAAGGCCCTTTTTTTTAACTGTGTTATTTTACTCTGTCTGATATAACGAGTTAAGGAATTCATGTCACTGATGATTAAGTTCTAAAAATACATCAACACAACGTGGCAACATTCAAAAATGTTTACAATAAAAAGCTCCTCACTCTTTAAATGCTGTTTCATTTCTTTGACTTTATTTGCAAAACTTTGGCATTCTAGCCAATGATCGTATTGATTGGCCAGGTAAAGATAGTCTGTACACTCTGAGCAATGGATGCACAACACAATATACTATGTACAATCTCAGTATTTCATCTGCAAACACAATATGTACAGTATCACGGCTGGCCTAAAGTTGTGCAACACCATTTATAAACAATCTAACATTTGTAATGGCGATTTGAGCACGGCAGTATGTACAATCTAAATTAGTTAACAATATGTACAGCTCTACTACCATCATGTACAATATATCTACAACAGTATATGCATCTATCCCAGCTCCTCGTATTACAGTTGTGCAATGCATCACAACACATACAGGATATATATGTACAGACTGTCACTCTGCGACAGTGCTGTTTGGGTTGCACATCACAGGATGTCTTCTGAATGGTTTAATCATCTACAATCCTACTGGTAAACTGTACAACACAAAGTGAGCTCCTCATATCTACAAATCACTCTGCTCTGATTGACCTCGTATCTGTGATTGTATAACTTCTGAGAGACATCCAGGGCAGCGTCAGTATGTACAATCCTCCTTCACAAAGCTGCTTTGACATCTCAACTTTCATACACTGACAGCAAACAGGAGCCTACAGTAATAAGTGTAGCGACAAAGCACACGCAGAAAACAACGAGCTATTACACCGAATGCAGAATTGCTTGTTCAAATAGGTAAACTGAGTACCAACAACATTTTAAATATGTGATGTATAAACAAGAAAACAGTTTCACATTATTCACCTCATCGCTCACATGAGTAATACATTTAACAATAAACTTTGTAAGAGTCAAAGGCTGAGTTTATGGAAGACGGTAATACATACGGTAACATTATTGAACATATTATCAACAATAAGACTTAGACGGCATTATTCACAGAAGGTTTGAAGTTTCCCTCTTGTAACGTGCATAACTCGGGTCAAATTCAGAGACTTGATAGAAGGAACCGTACGCTGCGTCCCATCTACATAGATGTCATTTTAGCATATCTCATGTTAGATAAATGTTAGAGTAATGAAAGTGGAAGACGGTAAGTATTGTTTGACTGTCTTTCATTTCCTGGTACATGTATGTGCTTAATATGAACATAAACCAACATCTTACTATGTTGTTTGTGTCACTTAATTCGGCTTTTTATGATTTTTGTGACCAAACCTATATCGGCCATATTTAGCTGCTGGAGCTACAGATAGAGAGATGACAGCAGGCAACATGTGGTCTGTGAAATATACATTAGCTCTACTTGCATTCAAACATGCATGGTCATAAAGAAGTTACTGTCCATATACGAGTTAAAATACCAGATCATTCTAGCTCCTTGTAATAATATTGCCATCATCAAACTATGAAAAATGTTGTCTCAGTGCTGCGCTAAAAGTATAGCAAGATGATTGATTTACATGATGTTTTTTTTTTTTTTTTCAATTGGATGTTCGCTATGCTTACAGGACAATTGGTGGTCATCCAATGACCATAAAGGCTACTGCAAGGTTAAAATAAGGCTCATAAAAGTCGAGTTCAATGGGGTTTGATCTATTTACAGTCACAGGCTGAATTCATTATTTCACAGTATAAGATTGTTTTCACATGTTTCTTTTGAATTGAGTGATTCGAAACTGATGTCAGATGAAAACGACTTCCAACACTTGAATTATGTGTGCACATTTTTCACATCTCTGGAGATTTACTTGGATTGCTCGGTGGGCTCTTTCACTTGAGTGTCAGATTCAACTTTGGGACTTCCCAGTTTCCTCATCCCTCTCCGCTGAGCCAGGCTGGAAGACTGAACCGGCTCCAGGACCGGCGCAGTGACACAGCGCTTCAGAGCTGAGTAAGTGGCAGACAGTGCCCCCTGGTGGAAAAACATGAGAACACATTATATGATATTAATATTGGTCCGAATTGATCAAAAACAAATTTAGTGGCAGACAGCGCCACCCGATGGACAGAGATGGAACACATCACAGGTTTCTTGCAATGTAATATGTTTGAAAATTAACTTATTTTAAAAAACAAATACTCACAAACAATTTTACACTCTGTAGCTTGTGTTCTCTTACAATTAGGAGGTAGCATGCAAACACATTATAATACTGAGTATCAAGTATTTACAATCATATCCTAATGAAATGTACTGTATGCACACATGCACACAGGTCTGACCTTGACAGTAAGTGCATCTTGTCTGGAGAGAGCTGTGTCAGAGAGCTGCTCTCTGTCTACAATCCAGGGATGACGAAGAACCTAAAGAGCCAAAGATACAGGAGGCTTAAATACACCACAGACCTGACACTATTCTCACATCAACACAAAGTAAAGATGCATGTGTTGGACAAGGAAAATACTGACATATATAAATCTAATGATTTTCTCTGTTGTATTGTCAGGAGGTGAAGTATGTATCTTCTATGTGTCTGTGTTTCCAGTGCAAATAGTCGATCCTAATTGAAGCTATATGCACAATAAATAGTACTTAAGAATGGCTCATAGTCTACCTAAGCACACATAGTCATTTTATAGACCTGTATTACCTGGGGGGCGGTCAGGCGCTGGTGAGGGTCCACATGGAGCATTTTTATCACAATGTCCTGAACACATGCAGGTAAACAAAGGTCACATTAGGACATTTAGGCAAAGTCATTTTAGTAACACAACCCGTCTATCTCTATCTCCCAAAAATATAAAAAAAAGAATGTCATTCACCTTGGCAGAATCTGACACCAGGTCCCAGTTCCCTCCTGTGATGACGAATTTCCCGCTGCCGATTTTCGCCAGAATTTCCTCTGCTGTGTCATCAGAGCTGCTGGCAAATGGACTGAAGCTGGACAATAAAGAAAACACGTTTACACAGGGCAATTCAACAGAGGATGAATCAGACAACTGAGAGCTCTCTAAAATCTACAAATGAAATAAAATCCCTGATATTATTGAATCTAGAGACGATTAAACCTCATGTTAAGAAGGTGAAGGTAATAATGATGACGTGTTAAAATACATCGTCTGTTATTGTAATTTCAACAGGGTAGTGTATTTATAACACATCCAGCAGCTTTAGATACTGCTTATTTGTTACAATAAAGAGCTGAACTACTGAAGGAGTCTGTAAATGTTGATCGTTTTGAATGCTCTTTTTTTTTTTTTTTTACACACCCAGCTATCATTGTGTAGAGCAGGATCCCCAGGCTCCAGATATCACAGGCTGCATCATAACCCTGCTTCCTCAGAACCTGCACACACACACACACACACACACACACACACACACACACACACACACACACACACACACACACACACACACACACACACACACACACACACACACACACACACACACACAAACACAGCGGCTATTGAAACAGAGTGCATGGTGGGATGAGATAATCATGAGTATTTAAAGCTAAGTCTTAACTTTCTGTGAGACATTATGATTGTTACCTCAGGAGCCATGAACGTAGCTGTGTAACAGGGGATCATCAGTAAACCGTTCTCTGCCCTGAGCTGTTTGGCAAAACCAAAATCACATATCCTGATGCTTTCTGGGAGTCCACTGTCATCGGAATAGCAGATGTTGCCAGGCTTCAGGTCTCGATGCACAACCTGAAACACACAAACACAAGCACACTCATGTTTAGCAATATTATCATGTTTTTAGTTTCACAGTCTAGCAGAGCCAAAACTAAGACCAATGGATTTGTTTGCTGCTGTCTCTGTGAAAATCAATGCTTTTAACAAATAATATTCCCCCCTGTCTCACCCCCTGTGAATGTAAATACTCCACAGTCTTGCTCAGCGTGCAGATGATGTCTGATGCATCTCTCTCTGTGAAGTTTGGCACAGTCAGAGCTCTGTCCAGCAGCTCGTCTCCTCTCAGTAAATCTTGAACCAGGTAGACAAACTGGCCGTCGTCAAACACCTAATGGATAAAAGGCACACACACCCTGGGCTCATGAGGATCTGTTCAGAAGATGAGGAAAAAGCTCAGCTGGTCATTAAAGTATGTTTATTTCAGGGAGGGAGTGTTACACTTACATCTTTCAGGGTAATAATATTTGCGTGCTGTCCGTATCGTAACAGAATCTCGATCTCTTCTGATGGATCTTTCCTCGCTCTCTCAATAATCTGACACAAAGAAAACAAAGGAAACGTTTTATTTGCAACATCTAAACCTCGATGTAGACATTGTAAGGATGCACAAATGCTGCTTCTTGTGTGCAGCCTTTTCAGTGCATCACTCACATGCCAAAGCCATTAAAACAACTTCTTACTGTAGGTTTATTTATGATTAAGGTTTGGTAGGGTATGTATTTGACTGTGTTGTAATGTGCACTTTTGAATCTTATTACCAGTGATGAACATTTAAAAGTGACCTGGGTATATTCTTGTTGACTCAGCACTTTATTCTGTGTGTAATAGAAGCTGCTAAGAGCATCATTTAACGATCACTGTTTGTTTCTCCAAGGCTGCTATGTTCAGTGCCTCTTACATTTTTCCGTGTTAGCTTTTTAAAAGTATTTTGTCTTTTGTCTGTCCTGTTATTGCTGCAAAATGCCCTTCGGTGACAAATAAAGTTGAAGTTGAGTTGAGTTTAATTTTCAGGTATGTTTAAAATGTATGAAAGCTCAGTTTGCCATGACAAAAAATAGATATGCTATATACATTCATTAAAAGACAGAACTTCATGTTAAAGAACTTCAAAGTCACATGACTCCATTGACTCTCACATTAACTTCAAGAATATATCCGATTTTGTTTGGTGGTGGAGCAGATAGCCAGGAGTTTCTTTTCCTGCTGCTTTGATCTGTTTGTTTGTGTTATTGTTTGACTTTGCTCAATGGTTAGCTAATGTCAGACACGACATCTGCGTGAGACACAATAACAATCAATCAATCATTATTTGCATAGCGTCAATTCATAACAAGTGTTATCTTGAGACACTTTACAAAAGAGCAGGTTAAGGACAATACTCATTGTTAAGAAAAATGGGATAGGGGGAGATGGGATAAGATGCCGGAAGGATTTCCCCTAACTAACATACTGTGTCTGTGAGGTTAGTGATTCACCTGTTCTGCCAGGTAAAATTACAGTTTTTATTTTTTCAATGGAGTCTGGTGACATGAGCGATGTAACAGCTGTTTGATTTTTATTCTAATCATCTCTTTAAGAAAAAGGTCTGTCTCAGTGGAGATCTTTCCTATAATGTTGTCCCACGTGTAGAATAATATTCCAGTGGCCAAAATGAAGCACTTTAAGTCGACTAACTTTGACAGGAGAAAAATGCCCACAAGTATTACTTTACAGCCTATTGCATCGCTGCAAGATGAACAAATCAAAAACAATTCCAAAACCTTATGAACCAAAAATCTTTTTTAAAAAAGTTGAATAAACCTTTCATTATTTTTGCAAATCTTGAAGAGTCTTTGTAATGGTTACATGTCCACTACCTTCACTGAATACTCCACAGCAGTAACTCTGTGCAGACATCTCCTGCAGGCAGAGGTCACTGTCGGCCCAACTTCCTCCTTCAGTTCATAAACATCGCTGAAGGCCACATCACCACGGAGACGCTGCAGGAAACACAGACACACACTCCTTTCTCAGATTTCATAAACGTGTTCAGGTCTGATGTGTCGTATGTTCTTTGGGAGAGTAGTTGCTGTAGTAACAGATGTGACTGTTTTTACGGTGGTTTTGCTTACATGACACATAATTAAACCAAGTAAGAAGTCAAAACAGGAAAAGAAGTAATAATATTAAATAACATTTATAAAGCAATATACATATGCATGTAAGTACCAACTTCCACACTTCTGACTTTGATTTATGAGGGTGATATTTAGAAAGGTTAGCCCATCTAATAGCCATCACTTAATTAATCAAGCAGCGAGCTCATGAAATAAAAAAAAACAAAGTAAAATCTGATCGGCATCACTTTATGAGATGAGATGAGATGAGATGAGATTCAACTTTATTGTCATTACACATATACAAGTATAGAGTAACGAAATGAGGTTTGGCATCTCACCAGAAGTGCAAATAAGCAGAAAGTGCAAGAGTCTGTGCTATGTACAGTAATTCTGTGCTATGTACAGTAATTGCAAAATTTACAGATGTAGACAAAAAAGTGAATTATTAGGTAAATCTGGATGGCTGGATTAATGGGAACCCTTATTGTATGTGGAGTAACGATGTGAACTGTTTAAGGGGGGGGGGGGGGTAGTACCTGTGCAATGGGGTTGATACTGCTCAACTCCTGACGAGTAGCTGCGACCGTCGCAACACTGGACTCCGGATTCTGATTTTGTGCAACAAAACTGAAACCTCGAAACAACTGGTGCGTGTTAGCACTGGGAGGGATGCCGGGAGAATCTGAACAGGCAACAAAAAACAAACATGTACTCACAATACCACAAATATGTACTAACCTTCCAGTTTAAATGCATCATTAGTCATCATAAAATCACTGGATACATCTTGACTGATATATAGAAAGGTATGTATTTGAGTGCTTTCTTTTGTGTTAGTCACCTGTGGGTGTTCTGGAGGTGAACTCAGGATCAAAATGGAAAGTGTCTTCAGGTCGACCAACTGTGGGTTTGAAGGGAGGCCTCGATTCCCTCTTGAACAACTTCTACAGAAAACAACAACAACAAAACATCACAGATCAATGTCAACACAACAGCTGTTCTGATCACAAGCTGACGTACAATCTGCTGAAAATTCAAATGAGGTAACAGTCACACTCATAGTTTAGACAGAGAAAAGTGTCAACAAGTTTCTTTCTCTCCACTGAAATGCCGCTTCCTAAAACTCACTGGCCCCCAGTGATAACGATTAAAGGCGAGGTTGCATTACACGCTTGTCTCACATCCCAAACCAAACTTGGGGTGATGCAGGTATTAATGTAAAAACATAACTATTCATCTTGTAATGTGACTATGAGGGCATAAAATAAAGTCAATGAGGAAAGAGGAGAATAAATAAAGACAACTAATAATCCTCTATAAAAGATACATTTGATATGGTCAATAAGGAACCTTAAATCACATTTTTTAATTACACATTTATGTACTGAACATCATTAAAAAAAAATGTTTGCATATATTTCCCTAAGTATGTTAGAGAGTATGGCCTGCAGGGGTCACCCTTGCAATGGCAGTCACTTCATGTTGTGCACAGTGGTTTGGTTTCACATTAAACAAGTATGACACAAGACATAGGAAAATTATGTTTTTTTTTAATGTTACAGTGTGTAGTGTGTATTATCAGAATACACACTTTCATTTGCTAGTTGAATTGTAGTTGATACTCTACGGTGCATGGCTGCTAAGAATGTGTTTTCAGTCCGGCTTTACGATAAAATCCTCTCAAAGGGTTTTAGAAGATTTGAGGTTCACAGAGGAAAGGTCTACAAGATTCTGATGGAAAGCAGAGAAAGTGTTTTGCCTGATGACAAGGCTGATAGCCTGTCACATCAAGCCAACACAACAGCATCTGTAAAAGGTGAAGGGTGGAGGTGAGAAGGTAGCACTATTACTGTAGTGAGCAGTAACAGTGAGAGCCAATAGGGCTGAGTTTAGTGGGCATGTGATCAAACAAATGTTACAAGGCTTCTGAAAGTCTGATGGAATATGATACACACCAACAGTGGCAACAATGTGACAACAAGCAATTTAAAAGATTCTGTTCTTCCATAAAAGCAATAAGTGAGCGATGGGTTTGCTGAGATTTCTCAATGAAACTGACTTTTTTAAAATCTTCTTGGTATCTCCTCTTACCAGAGTCTTCCTGAGGTTTGTGTCAGTAAATCTAACCATATCAATTGTCCTGCCATACATTGCTGTTTTGCTTATTTCATAACACCATACTCTTGAATATGATCACGACTATAATACAAATATATGGCAATAAGCATGTCAAATGTCATTTTACCTGAGAACAATAAATGCTCAAAGTATTACCTCTACATATGTTGACTAAATATTCCTCCCTGAGTCCAGTACTCAAACAATGAGACAGGTTTTCTTCTTAACCTGAATGTATTCATGGGAGGCTGCAAGAACAGCTCTTAAATTTTTAAGAATCAAATGTCATTTCAGAGTGGGATTCAGTGATGTTTGAAAAGCTTCTTAACTCAAATCAAGGCTTTGGGCAATAGTGCTTGCTTTTGAAGAGTGATCCTGTTTATGCAGGTCACATTGAATGAGTGGATATCAAGGTTAGATTATGATAGTGCAGGTAACGACATGCATAACTGGAACATTTGTGCATGAGCAAACTTTCTGTGAGAAACTCTATTAGAGATGTTAGAGACCATGCAGATTCTGCCACAACCTCTCTCAACCAATCATCCTGCTGCGGTCAAATTTCTAAGAGGACATATTATAGCAATTTTCAACTTTTCAAACAGTCCTCTGTGGTCTAAATGAAACATCTGTGCTGTGCTTTGGTCAAAATATAACATGAATCAAGCACCAGAGGAGGTTTGTGACATCACTCCTTCGCTAGCGAGAATAAAAATGGCGGACCTGCGCAAAAGACCACTGTGACGCCACAAGGAGAGCAAATTTGAAATGGAGCATTTTTCTCTGTTGTAAGACTTGTGCAGACCACAAACAAAGGACTGGATGGGTTTAGTTCACATTTTGTGGGTCAGTAGACACTCAGGTTAACCCAAATATATGTTCAAAAACACTGTAAAAGTGGATCTTTCATAATATGCCCCCTTTAAAATCTGCTCTCTCTCTTCCAGTCAGTTTGTCATTTCAGTGCGATCGCTGCAACCCTCCTTCTCCCTAGTCACCTCCGTTCAAGCTCAGCAGAGTTCAGATACAGCCTCAGAATCCCACTCCTCATCACATCCTGCAGTTTAATCGCCAAAGACACTGCATTGCATATTTATCCTTTCCTAAACTGTTAACAACAATAAATAATTGCAAATTCTTACTTAAGTCTCTCCTGATTGAAATAATATGAATAGTGCATCTCAGAAGTACAACCTCAGGAGAAAAAAATATATCTTTGCCACAGAAAAAGTAAAAAAAAAAAGATAGTATGAGAAATGTATCAGGGGAAAACCCTTGCATGAATGAAACATGTTAAACATTAACATCAGCTGTGACCTGCCATCCTGATCCCCTCCAATGTGCATATAAAAGGTCAAGAGGAACTGATGATGCAACAGTAACCTTAATTGACAAAGTGACCAAACACTTGAAACAGACAACAAACTATGCTAGAGTGTTATTTATCGACTTTAGTTCTGCTTTTAACTCAATCAGAACACATAACCTTTTAAAAAGGCTCTTGGATTTAGATGTGAATGGGGGTCTTATTCTGTGGATCAAAGACTTTCTGTCTGAGCGTCCACAAAGAGTGTGCTTAAATGGTAATGTGTCAGAACTGACTGTTTTAAATGCAGGCGCACCTCAAGGCACCATCTTGTCCCCTTTATTGTTCTCTGTGTATACAAATGAGTTCAGACTCCAAGACTCAGATTTTAGCTAATTCAAATATGCTGATGATATGGCACTTGTTGGCCTCCTACGTGCAGGAGACACTAAAGGAGAGAATATGTATTTTAATCATGTCTATCGAGTGCTTTACAGATAAACATTAGTAAAACTAAAGAAATGGTTATATCCAGTAAAAACAATATTTCTGACTTGTGCCTAACAATCATGGGGGAAATTGTTGAAAAGGTAAACTGCTTTAAATATTTAGGAATATTCGATAGTCACCTCAAATTCATAGATAATACAGACTATGTCTTTAAAACAGCTCTGCAGAGGCTACACCTACTTAGGAAGCTGAATGAGTTTGGGGTGAGTAAAAAGATTCTTGAAATGGTGGTACAAGAATCTGGTAGAAAGTATTTTGTCTTTTAACATGGTCGCATGGTACGGGCATTTAGATGTTAAATGTAAAAGCAAACTGACAAGAGTGGTCAATACCGCGAGCATAACAAGTGACCCTTCTCATCCACTGCACTCCCATTTCGAAGTACTTCCATCAAGTCGGTGATTCAGACTGCCAAGAGCCAAAAAAAAATGTTTATAAAAAATAATTTGTACCAAAATAATAAAATGATTAAATTCATAAAGGAAAAAATGCCCCCACCCCAACTCTAACTGCACATTGTTTTATGAAATGACTGTTTTAAACCTATAACTTTATGAAATGTCTTAAAACTCTGGCCCTATTATTATTATTATACTAAATTATTCTTTTAAATTCACACACCATGTTGACTGTGATTTTGTCGAGGACTACAGGCGCTCTCCTGGTTTCCTGCTGTGCTTGAATGTTGTCTTGTTTGTCATCATGTTTTTTGTCTTGTTCTTATGAAGCCGAAGACAATTTTCCACTTTGTGGACAAATAAACTTTTCTATTCTATTCTATTAAATCATCGACAGTCTGTGTAAAATGCAAGTAGAATGCAAGAAGCAGTTTGGAGGAAACACTTTAGTGTCCTTCCCTGAAAAGCTCTTTAGGCCCTTTAGGATATAAATTGTACTTACAGTCCAGTCTATCGATGCAAAGAAGCGATGCCTTTTTATTTCTTCCACTCCATCCGGTCCGGCTCCTGTCAGTCACACAGAATGAGAAAAATTGAGAGAAACAGTCTTTTCTGTGCACTGCCAAATTCTTAATGGACCTCCATATGGTCTGCCTGCCTGGACACTGCAGACATACTAATTGTTCTACATTATTGGGATTATATATGGAGACTGTGGGAGCTGGGACCACCATGCTGTAGCTCAGGCTTTCTTTATTAAAAGAGACATTTGCATAAGCTCTGTTCATATATTCATAAACATTACCGAGTCGATTAACAGGGTTCCTCTTGAAGAGTGCTCTTAATAAGCTCTGCACTTCAGGACTGAGGAACTGAGGCATTCCCAGCTTCGCTCTGTACAGACGAGAGACAAAAATATGAATATGGTAATAGCTCAATCATTCTGTTTCTGTTAGCGATTCACATGAGCACATTATCTTGAAAACACCAATTCATCAGAAACTTTGACAATAACAGCTTTACTCAAAAACAACAACACTCTTATATACAACATGTCGCTACTTATGGCAAACTAGAAAATAAAGATTCATCATTTTAACCCGTAAACTGAGATCAAGATGTTAATGACACATCAGTAACATAAGAAGTCATCAATATGCTGACATGTTTAAACTACATCAATACTCAAGTCATAAATACGAGACCTAAAATATAACAACAAGGGGCGCCAGCAGCGTAGTGGTTAGTGCGCACGCCCCATGTATGGAGGCTGTGGTCCTCCAAGTGAAGCCCGGGTTCGAATCCCACCTATCGCTCCTTTCCTGCATGTCATTCCCCATTCTCCCTACCTGATTACCGACTCTATCCACGGTCCTATCTCTAAAATAAAGGCACAAAATAAAAAAAACATGAGAGTGGGAATTAGACTTACTTTAGAATAAGTGCCATTGTTTCTTTTCGATCTTTTCCCTGGAATGGTAGTGACCCTGTCAGCATCTCAAACTGGAAAACAGACGGTACCAATCGTCAGAGCAAATGTCCCCAAATGTCAGATAATAAAGAAAAAACACTGAGGTGGATTCAAATGTCATTAGTTGATTGAAATCCTGAACTGAGTGAACTGATGATTAGTGTCTATTACAAACACACAACCCAGTCAGCTGAGTCATGTGGCATGAAGGTTACCAGAGAAGACAGTTTATGAATATTGTCATGAAAGAGTAAACAACATGTACAGCAGTTAACAGTGTTACAACTCTCATGTGATCTTCATTAACTTCAGTCACTTCTCACAACGAGAGAAAGATTTGTGGAAATTCATGCCGCTGTAACAATCAGCCCTATTCATGAACTGTGTCATTTTATTTTATTTTTATAGAAATGATGCTCAAAGAGGAAAAAAAAAGAATCCAATAAGAAATTGTACAAATGTTCATAAACCTGTGAATGCTTTGTGTACTGCAATAACCCGTTAAATGTATACCCGTCTTGTGACAAGAAACAATGGTTTTTTTTGGTCCTAATTCCCAGAAAAAGGACTCTTTAGATAACTGTCTTACATTTTCCGGTCAGTCCAGAGTCCAGAGAGAGTATTCTGAAAAGCTGAGCTATCGCTTGTTTGTTATAATACTTTCTATTATTAGCCAAGGTCAGGCGGGGCTGATAACTTTCACCTGGTGCCCTGATGTAGCTGCCAGCCATCAGAAAATGTTAACCTCCTTTTTAGTATTAGTAAGATAAGCCACCAGTCGAAAAAAAAGCACGAGAAAAATCCTGTATCGACAGTGATGGAACCTAATCGGCCAGTCATGGTAATAATTGTGCAGCTCTACAGCAAGAAGAAAGCCAAAATGAACAACTAGTACACACTGGCTCATTATCTAAGAGCGGAGTACTTTAATGTATGCCTCCTGGTTTAGCAAGGACTATCAGACAGAACCTTCAGCTCAGTAGAAAGATCAAAAAAGGCTTGCATAATAAAGACACATAAATGGTGAAGAGAGGTGGTCACAGAAAGGAAAGTGCTTACCATAAGTACCCCAAATGACCACCAGTCAGCACTTTGTGTGTGTCCTCTCCTGTTCACAACCTCTGGAGCCATGTACTCAATAGTCCCACAAAAGGAATATGCTCTTTTGTCATGGTCGATAGCTTCCTTACTTAATCCAAAGTCTGAAACACAGCGGCAGGATGGAGTCATAAAGAGAGAGCTTGACTTTAATTAAGAGATGAATAGATACATATGAAAGTCAAATTTCCGTTTTATTTGAAGTTGGATGCACTGACCTGTTATCTTAATATGACCTTCTTCATCCAGAAGAATACTGTCGGGAACATTTGCATTAAAATCTGTTTTAAAGATCAAGTTTTTATGAATGAAACAGAAAAGCAGAAACAGTGAGGTCGTACTTTTCAGGTTTGAGGTCCCTGTAGATGATCCCCAGGCTGTGCAGATGGTCCAGCGCCAGGGCCAACTCTGCCAGGTAAAACTTCACATCGTCTTCTGTAAACATCACCTGAAACAAAGAAAGGCACGGCAGTCTACTGAGTGATACACAACAATGAAAGTTCTAAAAAAAAAAATCAGGATTACATCATGAGATAAGAAAAACATCAGCTTTGAGAGGCCAACGTACCTCCTTAGACAGACGAGTGAAAAGGTCTCCTCCTCTGAGAAAGTCCAGGATAAGATAAAGCTTTCCTTCTGTCTGAAAGGCTACACACACACACACACACACACACATCCACAAACAAACACACGTGTGCAAAAACAGACACACACCACAAATATTTATGGCACATTGTAGAGAAGGCGTAAACGATGCCACCTCTTACAGTTGCGGGACATAATCAGCATCATCACTTCTCACACTCAGGGCTCAGGGCACAGTTAAAGTGACTTTCCCCGATGTGCTCTCTGTTACAGCTCACAGTGAGTGATAAGCTCAGGCAACATGTCTAAATGCTCGAGGGGAGTCTGGACAGATACCTAGAGTCACTGAGTGTGCTAAGATGTGAACAATTATGGTGGTTATAATCCCAAACATCATAGGAACAAAACCAAGATAATTCTCAAAGCAAGCGAGCTGAGGCTTGCTAAAAAAGAAGAGGTAATTGTCATGGCAACATTAAACCTCTTAATTTTCCTTTTCCCAGAGGACTCACTTAGAAAATGTAGATCCCCTTATGTAACAATGCTGGTCACCTGAAAGCTTTTTAACATTACTTCTAGGCTCTCAAAGAAACCTATATTGAATAGTGAGTCTTTTTATGAAGCATGTTTCATTACAGGTAAGCTCAATGTGCTTTACACTGATGATAAAAACACAGGAATACAAGAAACTAACAGTTATGAATAAGATACAGAAATCAAGTTTAAAAAAAGCACACGTCCAATGCACACCAGAGACCACATAGCAATCAAACACACAAAAAGACATACTGTACATACAACCAATGACACAGGTGATAACATTTACACACAAACAAACACACGTACACAAAGAGTAACTATTTGTATGCTTGGAAGAAGAAGATTTTGAGTTTCTCTTTAGACAGTAGTGATGGACCTCCGCTGGAAGTTTGTTCCAGAGAGAAGGATCACAGTGACTGAAGGCCCCCTCTCCGGACTTTGATCTTAGTCTTGGTATGACTAACAGACCTTCACTTGATGACCTGGAAGCCCTGGTAGGGTTGTAGTCTGTGAGCAAGTCAGAAATATACTTGGGAGCTGAACCATTGGTAGCTTTATGAGCTATGAGGGCAGCAGTAGCTCAGTCTGTAGGGACTTGGGTTGGGAACTGGAGGGGTACCTGGCTCAAGTCCCGATGCGGACCAAAATATGGAAGTTGGCTGGCAACGGGAGAGGTGCCAGGGCAATTCCCAATTCAAGGTGCCCTTGAGCAAGGCACCGCACCCCCAACAGCTCCGGTGTGCTCCCTGCGTAGCAGTGTGTATCAGCTCCACTCTGACATCTCTCCACTAATGCATGTCCACAGGTCCTGTTTGTGCATGTGTGTATTTCAGGCCTATGTGTGTGAGAGGCATGTCTCTCAATAACAGAGTAAACCAGAAAATCCCTCAGGGATTAATAAATTACGTAAAATTAAATAAATAATAAAAATGATTTTTAAGGGGATTCTGTGTTAAATGGGGAGCCAATGGAGTGTTTTTAGGACAGGCGTTATATGTTCAAATTTTCTGATGTGTGTCAGGACTCTATACTCTATATACAAGTTAACAATGAACATCTAATTGAAGACTTTCAGACAGTCAGACTTACCATAGTGTAGTTTAACTATAAATGGATGGTTCACTTCTGCCAGAATGTCTCTCTCCATCTTCGACCGCACGCGATCCCGAACTGAGAAGGAGATAGTCGGTCAGGAGAAGTTTGTTTATCAACATAACATTCAGTTATTTATATCCCCCTGCATGTATAAATTATGACAAGCCTCTTATACCACCAGTAGGCTCTCTGTAGGATGAATCAGCTTTTACTTGATTAAAAAATGTCAAATCGAATCACTCTCATTACGTAGAGGAAACAGTACAGATCACAGGGTTTCTGCAGCATCTGTTGCCTTGACAGATTGCAACCATAACTTTTTTTAAATTCCAGAGGTGCAGGTTAAGAGGATTGAGGCTTGTTCATAGTCACTAAATCAGCACATGGCATCTCAACCTGTTTTTCCACGGTACATCCTCGTTTACAATAATCCCATTTGACGCAAAAACAGTTTATCTGATTCTCGAGCACAAACTAACCTCTTTTACCACAAATCCTCCTAAATGTAGGGCAAACTGAGACAATCACAAATCTCTTATCTTTCCTGTGCATATCCATGGGTATTGACACATCGATAGTGTGTCCAAGTCAAGATCTAATTTTAAGGTTTATTATTGGGGAGAGAGCCCAGGGAATGACATGGGGGAAAGGAGTCACAGGTCAGACTCAAACCAGGGTTGCCCCCCCCCCCCCGGAGGACCAGCCTCTGTACATTAGGTTCACACTAACCACGCCACCCATTTGCTTCATTTTTGGAGCAGGACAGTAAAAGTGCTTTAACTGAGTATTTGAAGCAATGAGATCAAAAGGAAAACATGACTTTTCTGTTTGTTTTGAATGTGATATCACCTTAAAACTACATCTACATATATAATAATATACAGGCAAATTTTTGAATGCAACATTATCAGGTTTTAATCTTCTTCTTGATATGAAAAACAATTGTGCATGACCTAGCTATGACTCTTCTAGAACAAAATATATCGAAATATATCAATACATGAAGCGATGGAGACAACTGGGTATGTATGCCAATCTATTAGTAGTTTACTCACTGCATCTCACATTTTAGGTTTTCAGATAATTACCTTTCAGTGTGGCTTTCTTCAGGACCTTCATGGCATACAGCTGCCCTCTGTCCACTCCTCTGATCTTTCTCACAAGAAACACCTGGAACCATAACCATCAAACATCACCATCAGCATAATCATCACCATCATCATAATCACCACCATCATCATAATCACCACCATCAGACATCAAACATCATCATCATAATCACAACCATTATCACAGTTTGTAACATTTAAACCCATAGTTTTAACAATTCTACAGACACCTGGAGTAGCACACATTAAAAATAGAAACACTTGTAAGTGTATAATTTAAGTCAAGTTATTCTGGAGTTGCTAAAAGAAGAAGGCTAACCATTTGCAGAAATATTATTCAATACACTACAGCAGTGGTTCAGACCTTCAGTACATGTTGAAGGTACTCGTACTTTACTTTAATATTTTTTCATTCGAGACACTTAATACTTGTACTTCTTTGTGTCTAAATAGTTTTATTGTGCAGATGCTAAAAGTTACTTTTCAGCTCATTCTGAGCATTTTTTACATCCTTCCTGTCCAGAGAAAACGATTAAAGCTATCTCAATTGAAGACAGTTTGTCAATAAGGCGATATGTGATGTTCTTATACGACCCACACTGTCTGAGGCCTCTCGCTGAGGAAGTCCAGCAGCCAGTTGCACAGGGAAGTGCTGAGCCCTCAGTAAACTGGACCAGCTGGGGCTCAGTACATCAAAAACCACTGTCATGAGCACTGGGGCCCCCCAAGGTTGTGTGCTCAGCCCCCTGCTCTTCACGCTGCTGACCCACGACTGCGCTCCATCCTTCAGCAGCAACCACATTGTGAAGTTCGCGAACGACACAACAGTGGTTGGTCTCATCTCCAACAACGATGAGACGCACTACAGGATGGAGGTCAGCCAACTGGCCATGTGGTGCAGAGACAACAACCTCTTCCTGAACGTCGACAAGACCAAGGAGGTTGTTGTCGACTTCCGGAGAGTCCCCACTCCTAAACCCCCACTGACCATCGACGGTGCTGCTGTGGAGAGAGTGAGCAGCACCAAGTTCCTGGGGGTTCACATCAGTGAGGATCTCTCCTGGACAACCAACACCACATCACTGGCCAAGAAGTCCCAGCAGCGCCTCTACTTCCTCCGCAAGCTGAAGAGAGCACGAGCACCCCATCATGTGCTCCTTCTACAGAGGCACCATCGAGAGCATCCTGACCAGCTGCATCACTGTGTGGCTTGGGAGCTGCACTGCTGCCAACCGCAAGACCCTGCAGCGCACAGTGAAGGCTGCTGAACGGATTATCGGTGTCCTACTCCCCTCTCTTCTAAACCTCTACGGTACCCGCCTCACCCACAAAGCAACCAGCATTGTGCGTGACCCCACCCACTCCTCACACAGCCTCTTCAGCCTCCTGCCATCAGGGAGACGGTACCGCAGCCTACGGGCCGGCTCCACCAGACTGGGAAACAGCTTCTTCCACCAAGCTGTCAGGAAGCTTAACTCTCTCCCCTCTCTTCTTTCCCTCCCCTCTGCCCCCACGAACACTGGACGTTGAAACCCCCTCCCGTTTGCCACCATGAACTCTGGACTAATAACTCTGAAGCTAACTATTCAAAAGTACACTCAGTTTACTGCACATTGCACATATTGCACAATAATTTATTACTGTAAATATTATTTATCTTATTTTTACCTCATTTTATTTATCTATTTTTACCTTATCTTATTTTATCTTATTTTGGCTGTATTGCACCGTGGCACGGAGACAAACGCAATTTCGATTCCACTGTATGTCTGGCATATTTTGGAATTGACAATAAAGTTGACTTTGACTTTGACTTTGACTTTGATACGATAATAATATTTTCATCAAATGTTATAAAAACAGGTCAAATAAGCACGGCATCATCAAGAAACACATGTTAACAGCACTATCAAAACAATCATTGCTTGTATTTCTGATGTGGGTAGATTTAGCTGATAATACTTACACTATATACGATACAATGCAGGACTTAGTATTTTTATATTGCTTTACTATATGCTTTTAAGTAGAGTATCTAAATACTTCTTCCCTCACTGCACTGTTGTAAGAGCATGCTCACGTTTGTCCCTGCGTTTCACCTGAAATGCTAAATCAGATCGCAAAAACAGCCAAACTCACACGTCACGCAGTTTGTTAGCTAAGGTGAGAGCCAGTTGACAACTATTTTCATTGAAGACTTAGTTAAATGCTGCTTCACTGTGATACACACAAAAGCTACACAGATTTGCCGATGGCCTTTTAAGCACTGGTAAGCTATGTAAACAAGCTAGCTAACAAAGCTAGTCAACATTTAGCTTGACAACCTGACCTCACATCACTTGCGTACAGTAAGTGTTTGCAACATAAAAATATCTTGGTCAATTATTTAAAAGGATTGCAACATGCTGGTCACATATTTGAGATGAACTAAAGGCTATAGAAAAAAAAAAGATGTAGGCACAGTGAGAACACAAATGGATTTGTTGACTTCTGTTTAGAGCCAAATTTGACACTTTGGCTGTGAAGTCGTAGTAGCTAGAGGATGTCTTGCTGTCGGACTCTGCTTGATCGTCGATATTACTCTGAAAGGTACCATCATTTTAACAACATCGTTCAGTTTTGAAGAACACTTGAAACTACTTGAGCATCCCATTGGAGTTGCCATTTTCTGGCCATACTGAAAAATGTATTTTGAAGACCCTTGCACATTGTTTTCCACCTTGACATCCACATGCTACATCAGCCTACAGTCTACAGGTGAGTTTAAGTCTCACAACTCTTTTTAGTTACATTTATCTTCTATACATGATGTGTTGTGGGCAATGTGAATAGCTTTATGGTGGCCATGCAATTGAGTCCTTTGACATTAGACCTGTTATTTTTCCACTTATTTTCATCACTTACTCAGGTCACTATTTTTAATTTGTATTTTTAAAGGGAAAAAGTGACAATACACACAAAACGTCATGGCCAAAAGTAAGTGGACGTCAGTTCTGTTATGTTGGTGAGTCAGGCAAGGGAGACAACGAACAGCTGAGGTTGTTTATTCACTGCTCGTCTCTACATGTGTATCACGCTCAATCCTGCATACATCTATTCTTCTTTCCTCTACCCTAATTGTCTCACCTATCCTCGACGGAGTCTCACTCAGCCCCTAGTAGACTGAAAATGTAACTACATTCAAAGTATGCAGAACGAACCTAACAAGCATTGTCTTTGTAAACACAACAAGTTCTACATACTGATGTGTACTTTTGGTTTATTTTCACAGTTTAGACGAGGTCCCTTGGTCCTAAATAATCACAGCGCTACATGAAACATCATTTCAGATGATAATGCTCTTCAGTTGTTGTTCAAACAGACTCATCCCTGGCTACAACAAATGCGAGCAAAGCCATAGAGCCCAACATCAATGTTTACTTTGAATGTTCACATGTCTGAATTGCAGTCTAGATATACAGACAATCTAAGTGATATGAATATTATCACCACTGAGCGGAGCTGAAGATGCACTGCAGCTCTGCAGCACACCCTAGATGACCTACTGCGCCAGCTGGGCAAATAAGGACAGCCTCCTGGTGGCTGTCAGCAGCAGCACTGGGTAGTGTTCAGGCATATTTTTTTAGTGGTAGTATCAATGCTCATCTCTGGTCTTTAATTATAACAGCATTTTAATGCATGTGAGTGCACTTACAGTAATGTTGGCCTTATAATACATGTGTTAAAGTCCAGATATAGTGAAACCTTTGTAGTCACATTTTAAAGACAACATTCAGTGGTATGAATGTTTTAAACACTGAGTACAGCTAAGGAAGTGCTGCTCCCCTGCAGCAGCTAGCCTTAGTGATGACCTACGTCGCCAGCTGGGCAAGTAAGGACAGCCTGCCCCTAGCTGTCAGCATTGGCTAAGTGTCAGGGCTAATCTTTTGGGTGCTTCTGTCAACACTCATCTCCTCTGTTCCCCTAGGATCCCTTTCCCAACAACCTTGTCCAATCGGTTTGAAAAAAAATGCTCAAACAAACGTTTTGGATAAAATGTGTATCATTTACCTTTCCATAGGAGCCTTGTCCCAGCACTTTAAGAAGCTGGAACTGAGAGGGGTCAGCTTTCTCACAGCCCTCTTTAACATGGTGGCTAATGTCAATTTCCTTCAATATACTGTCCTCCTGCAAGAAAAAGAAAAGACACATTAACCTTTTATGTATATAATTGGCTTTTCCACAGAGACAGAAAATAAAAACACATTAAAGCTAAAAGACTCTGGAGGTACAATCAATCATGTTTCAAAAGTGAGAAGTCAGTCATGAGAAATTGTTGGTGCAATACACATAAGAATAAAATGTGTTTAATCACCCCTTTAAATAAACACATAACCCTGGTCATTTATGTTGCTGTTAGGAAGACATTGGCTTAGGTCACACTTGTTTCCCTCAGTCCACTCAGTGAAGCAAATGATCAACATGAGGCATGACTAATAATGGTGAGTGACATCAACACAGTAAACATGTTTTTATGACAAACTGTAATAAAATAAATTTTAAGACATTGACCCTAAGGAGCTAAAAATATTGAAATTACAGATGTCGCGCAGTGTTGTAAAAACAGCACATTTGTTTTATGTTACAGTGTACCTGCATCAAAAGCGGGTTACAAGCTCTTAAATTTAGCCTTTGAAATTCATTTTTATCACAGCCATTCATCTAATGACAGATATTTTTGAATTTAACAGAGGAGTGTCCCTTGTGTCAACTTTCATAGAAGTTGAGGATCAGACGCAGAGATTGAACGCTTCAATCAGGCATTAGAAAACGTTTTAAATGATAATACCCTCCTAGCATTTAAATAGAGATAAAATAAAATAAAATAACATTTTTCCGCAGTCTAGATCCTATAAAGGAAGTACAGAACCAAGCAGAACTGCAAGTTCATCCTCAGTGAAAAACAGGAGGAAACAAACCTCAAAGCAGATCAACTCCTGACATGAGAGCAAAGCTTCAGTGCAGCTCTTGAGCCTGCATCGCTCAATCCCTGATGTCAAAAGATTTCCCATCAAAAGGATTTTCCATCCCTAATGTTTTTTTGTACTACTTGCTTTGACTCAATTTTCACATCAGGCTTTGTGGGAATGTGTTCAGTAATATGAGGTTCAAATGTTACTTTGTGGAACTTCATCAAATGATAGTGATTAAATGATGTAAAGTATGTAATACATCATGCATAAAGACTTTTAATATAAACATTATTTGAACACTGGTATTATGAGATGCCTAGATTTTTAAGCTCATGAGTTAGTGTTTTGATTTGAGTAAAAAAACAACCTTTGGGGGTGAGAGGTAATGAAGCACTTTACACATCCAAACTGTGAAGTCAAAGCCTTCCTAATATAGTTTTTTCTACAGCTTTACACCTCTGGTGTCACTGATTGGGGTGTGAAGTGTGACTTGCTAGAAAGTTTCAGCAGTTTTCAGAGCAACATTTCACAGTAGAAGTTTGCTTCGAGTGCCTCATTCCTGTTTAAACACTATTTTTAACAAGGCAGCTGGAATGATGCCTGGTTTCAGATTCTCGGATGCTGATCCTGAATCCTGAACTTTCCAAGAGAGAGAAAGGAGAACGTCTCAACATGGACAATTCGAGTATCACGACACAGACATGTAGGCCTATCTCAGAAGGTAAACAAACATAAGCAGACAGAAAGACAAACAGACAAACAAACAGATAGATCATCTGACGCTGATTCATCCCCAATCACAACATGGAAGACCAAAGGAGGAGCGGGGGGGGGGGGGGGGTGTTTTCTATTTTTAGCTCGAACGTGCAGGTAAGATGTGCTGCAAACAGCATTCTGCCTCTCTGTCCTTCCCTGCTGGTTTGTTTGGGCTATAAATAGACACCCACTGCTGTGGAGGTCCACTGAATCAATCTGTCTGCATCCATTTATCCATCAACCTGCCTGCCTCGCTGCTTGTTTGCCTGTTAGCATTTCTGTCTGTCCGACTGCATTTCCATGTAGCCTGTCTCTGTCTCTCTCTCTCTCTGAGTCAAAACACAGTGTCTCTCTGTCCTTCTGTTTTTCTGGATTCTTGACAGGCAGTCAGGCAGAGCAACAGCTGTAAGGATGCTGCAATGACTCCTGAAGCCCTCCACAAAATATCACACATTCCTCCCACACCCATCCCCATGTGCACACAGACTCCTCTCACATCCTCTCTCCTCCTGTCGAAATGAAACTGTTCCTGTTTGTGTTTTCTTGTTCCTCTGGCCCTTAATATTTTCACAAACTAAACACAGGGTGCACCCCTCCTCAACATCATCATACAGACACGTGTGTTAATGTGTAGTTTTGTTTTGAAGTTTGTCCTGCTCCTGAATGAACGTTTCTACAGCTTATCTTACCTCCAGCTGACAGAAGCCTGTGTTGTTCTTGTTCCTTGCTGCCTTGTTCTTCAGGTAGATAGAAAACCATCTCCGCACTGTGAATTTACGCGTGCTGGTATCCATGGCAATAGGCAAGACCTATGTGCATCTATCCCATAATGATGAACATCTCCCTGCAGGAGGTCCTAAGGTAGACACGCAGAAAGAGAGTCCTCTTTTAATTCTCTTTTGAGGTGATCTATTTGTCCAGCGCTTTATCCATTGGCCAATCCTCAATGCGGTCGTGGCTTTTTAGCTTCTCCATCATTTACATTCGGCGCTTGTCTGTTTGTGGTGGATTCCAGCCAGTCGTGTGTCCCCCCCCCCCTCAACCCCTCCTCCGTCTCTCAGCTGCAGTGAACGCCAGAGAGCACGCAGTCAGAGTTGTAACGGAGCCGTTAATCTATGCAGACAGACGGGCAGGTTGGCGGAAGAGGCAGGTGCTGCTGGGTTTTGGGCTTGTGTTGTTATGCAGCAAGCTCGCTGCACGAGTATGCAGGGAGAGGTGACGAATGAATCAGTTCCGCTGAATCAGGAGAGGTGTGTGTGTGTGTGTGTGTGAGCTTCCTCTTAACATCTACGCCCCGTGCATGTGTGTGTGTTTATCCCCTGCGGCCCTCTCTCTCTCTCTCTCTCTCTCTCTCTCTCTCTGCAGAACTAGGGATTGTCATCCGTCACATTGTGTACCAGCGAGCTTCCGACCCCTCCCTCTCCTGCTGCCCCCTGTTCCTGCTCCTGCTCCTCACCTCCCTCCCTGTTTCTCCCACTGGTGTACAGCAACAGCTGGCGAGGTCACATGGTGTAACCCAGCTACCTCTCTCTCTCTGTCCTCTGTCCCTTCTCCTTTGCGACCACATGACATCCAATAACAACACAGAGATACAGACAGAGTTAAAGGTTTTGATAAATTACAAAATAAAAGTCAGAACAATAAAGGAATGTAGAACTGTGAAATCATCATCATCAAATTCTGAGGACAGCAATCAATGAAAGTTTCGATGATGATGACAGAAACAAGGACAGCCATCAAAGAGGGTACAGTGTGGTCTGGATGATCACGGGGCATGGTATGTGTGTGTGTGTGTGTGTGTGTGTGTGTGTGTGTGTGTGTGTGTGGTGTGGTGTGTGTGTGTGTGTGAAGGTACTTGAATCCGTCACATCAGCAGCTTTGCACAACTGCAGTGTTACATAACCAGAGAGGGAGAGAGCGAAGGGGAGATGGAGAAATAACCAAGACAAGAAATCGGGGAGCTGTATTAGATGGGGGGGAAAAAGAGGGTAGATTGGGACTTCTGCTTCACCTTTATCTAGTGTTTGTATATGAGCTGGGATTATATCTCCTGTAAAATCTAAAAAGGTTTTTTTTTTAATTCTTCATCTACTGTAGGATAGTTCACCTCAAACACTGGAGCTGTGATCCCCAAACTTGGAACGTTACTAAAAACACAGCACATGGTGTTGTTTTCCTGTGCTCGACAGGATTGGGGCCACATTTAGAAAATAGTTGGCACATAGTTTCAGGGCATGTCAGGTCTATTGAAAGTGTAATCAGATGTGTTTAGTAAATCTGCAGCGCTGTGTTGTGGGAGGAGACTCAGGATTATGGACTAGTGTCTTTGTCCCGGTGGGATTACGGCTCTCTAAGGAGATCATAACATTAATATGTATGTATACACACCGAGTAGAAGTGGACACACAGACTGAGATAAGGTAACACGAACAGACATTAATACAGCCACATTCAAAGCCTCCTGATGCCATCGTATTCAGTCCTTCTGTATTTATTCACAAGCTCTATTTATAGTGTGCCACAACTTTTGATACCATATATTAAAAATACAAATGAATACACTAGACTATCTCATTTTTAAAGGTCATATATCATCCTCATTTTCAACCAGTGTATATGAGTCTCAGAGCTCCACAAAACAAGTCTGTTAAGTTTCTTGTCAAAAATCCAGTCTGATCCTGTATTTGATCATGCCTATAAATCCCTCTACTTCAAGCCTGCTCAGAACAGGCTGTTTCAAACGAGCTGTGTTCGACCACACCTCTGTGGAAGGGAATGTGGCTCGGGCTTTCTTTGCACCACGCCATCATTTACAGTGAATAAGGGGTCTCAGAAGGCAGAACAAACATCAAGCTGTGGGTGTGTCACCCACCTGGGGGAGGGGTTACAGCCCTTTGTGATGTCACAGGTAGAGGATTCTCATCATTGGTGGGGTTTGTAGACAGACTCCGGACATATATAAGTGATAGAAACCATGGCAAAGTGCATTTTGCATAATATGGGACCTTTAAGTAACTCACTGATGACTCGAGGGCAGATTGACTATATTGAATGTTTATTGACATTTAAAAAAATGACAGTACGAATGTTCATGGCAGTCATTTCACAATATACACATATCCAGAGCATCTTAAATTACAATAATCATTCACACTCATTGATTGGATGCTAGAATGTCCCTCTGGATTACTAAAGTATCTATCTATCTTGAACTATGCCCATAAAAAGCCCCAGCCAAACAGTACCAATTAATGTCAATCACTGTAAATATCAGTTTGGGATTAAAAAGCGTCTGTCAAAACATACAGAATAATGAGCCTTAGAAAAGTCTAAAATCAACTGAAGTATTACTCCACGCATCATAAACTGTATTTACGTTTTAATCTGTACGTATGTAATGTACAGTCGGTTTGATTAAAGCTCTTCCTTCATTAAAGACACAGACCTAAGCAGTCTGATGGCACAGCATTGAATAATGTTTTGTGTACTTGGCAAATCTCAGAATGATGAATTCCTCTAGTGTAAAATGCCTGAGAGACTATGGAGGAAGACAGATGTCAGTGCAAAGAGGCAGTGGTTTCAAATGATGCCTTCTGTGATAGAAGCTGTCCAAAATGATGCAATGTTTAATATTGTTTGGTGATTAAACAATTGTTGACGTAGCTCTCTGATTTATGGGATCAACTCAATTATCAAATGATTCTTTAAACTTTTTATCGATTGCTAAAACTCAGGTCAGCTTTGCACAAAAAGAGATGGCACTTAAGTGACTGTGGTATAACTCATGGCCAACAGAGTCATCAAATCAACACTATTTTTGACTGTATCTCAGCATTAAGTAAGAGCCGCCTCCAAAAATGGCAAGAGACTTCGCTCGTTTGCAAAACAGGCATAGTAATCTGCTTGTTTGCCTGACTGTCTGACCTGAAGTTCCCATGATGCCCCCCTGTTGAGCTGTGGAAAAAAACACGCCATGCACTATTGGATTGATCTACTACTAAGGGTCAGAAAGGCGTGTAATCCCATTAAAGCACGAGGTGAGGTGGTAGTGGAGTGGGTGTCCTGGATCTGCAGGATATAAAGGACCATTGCACTTAAAGGTGCTTTTTTTCAAGCTTCTCTCACAGCCTGAATGTACATGTAGTTAAAAATGTTTATGGACTGATTACTATCATTATCATTGAAACTATGGTGTTTATTGTTCAGCCTGTTATTAGTGTGTGTGTGATTTTGTGTGTGTGCATTCTAGTACAGTACACATGATTGGTAAACAAAGAAGACACCGGTGTTTGAGGATGTGAAAATAGAGGTGCAGTGTGTGTTGCATCATATTTTGTGCAACTACCGGAATATCTCTTTGGAAACAGGCGGGTAGTAAACTGGCATATCATGCTGACACACCATGAACCCAGACGGCATGTCAACATCCATGAGACGGTCCCCGTGCCCCTTAGACACTGTGTCTTTGGTAAAATGTCTCTCACAGTCGATCAGGCTGAAGTCGGCGTCGAAACATATCTCAATCTGCCCCAAAACCTGGACTTCATCTCTCTGTCAATCACAAAAACACATCATTTTACTCCACATGGTACAAAACATACACTTCATTTTCCTAAATGAAAAACTAGACAAAATATAACTGATTTAAATATACGATTTGTTGTTCATACCCTTGATTTGTGGGCGCATTGGATCTTGGGTTTGACGCTGTAGAAGTTCTCTATGGCGTCCTCGATTTGGGATAACTTCAAACAGACACATTCAAGAGATGAGAAAAGGTGAGAATGAAAAACTTGTTTAGAGACATTTAACCCACATATATATATTTATTAACAAAATGTTTCTGATGCTTAATAATTACATCTATGCATAGAACATCATGTAAACAAACAAAAATGTAAGCATGAAAATTACAATAGACCTACCTTGTAGTAATCTTCAGACGGGGTGATGTTGAACTTTTGCAGAGTTCTATAATAACACAAACACAGATTTCGAGGTGTTGATGCTTTTACTTAGAGGAAAATAAAAGAGACAAGAAGAAGCCAAAGATGTGCAGGATTCACAGGGACCAGGTACAATAGAGCTCAATAGGGACCGCCACTTTTTAGGCGGCTCTTGTTCCGAAAGTGAATTTCCCCATTCAAATCCTCCATTGACAGTTAAATGCTTTATATGTGATTTTTTGATCCAGCAGATGTCGCCCTTGAGCACCAGCATGAAACCAAAACAACTCGTGCTGCATTGTTGTGTTAGCATGCTAATGCTAGTGATCTTTATTAAGCTCATATCTTCACACTGCATGTAAATTTACCTGAAATGAGCGTGATCTAGAAACACAGTTAAGCAGTGAGTACAGTATGTTATTCTTCTTTTCTCTAGTCCCTCAATTAAACAACTTTTATACGTGAGGGGAGGAGTCAGCCGGCTGTCCTGGCGATGTAAACATACTGAAGATAGGACTCTGAAAACATCACAGACAGTGGGACTCGGGTGTCACACTCATTGTTGACAGTCATGACTCACAGAGTTATTTTCAGAGGATAAACTTGATTTATATTATATTTAAGTGTGAAAAATCACATATAAAGCCTTTAACAAAATCCTTATATCAAGAGATTGAGGCCTGGAACCATGACAACCAGCTATACTCGTGACAATAGAATATTTAATTCGGCGCCAAAAACGGCATTGAAAAACAGAGAAAAAGGCAGAGGTACAAGACTGTGTATATTATTTTCTACTGGAGACAAGGAACTACCCATCCCACAATCCATTGGAAATGATATAAGTTCTTCTTAAATGTAACTTTAGTCATTGTTATAGTGTTTACACTGTTAATACAAGTGTTCTATCATCTTGTAGTTTGGGTTGTGTGAATATATAAATTACATTCACTGCGGCATAACAAAGTTATTAGTGAATTTTGTGTTAGCCAACTTAGTAGCTAGCATGCTAGCAAAACTATCGGTTTGCAATTGGTGAAGAGGGATGGGAAACATTGCCATGGTAACAGCAAGCTCCACCAATTGGAGACGTGTCACAGTGACACTGTAAGGTCGTGGGTAGTGTAGTTCTTTTTCCCAATATTGAGAATAAATCATGCTTTTCTTAAAGTGAGGATGATATCACATGAACTTGTGTCTCCTACAGGAGCATTAACCAGCGTTTCACACACAGGTAGCTCATGGTAAGTATACCCTGGATGGTGTTGACATTATGGCTAATAATCAAATCGGCTAGGGAGAAAATTAATGGGAACTTTACTTACAGAACCACACTCTTGTGCCCTATACTAAAAACTATAAAACAAGTCCCCGTTTTCAAAGAGAGATGTGTGTCCTGTAGATGTGCCGTACCTGTCCAGATCCACTTTGTGATACAGATCCAGTGCCTTGTTGAAGTATTTATGTTGACTATTCAGAGAATCGGCTTTGGCTGCACATGTTCCATGTTTGTGCCACTCGTACTTCCTGTTGAAACATGCAGAGAAATTAGATTGAGATAGTTTTTAATATTAAATACAACTTGGGAATCTACAGCATGACTATTGTTATCTCAATTTCACCCATTATGTCAGATTAAGCCCAATTCTACCACTATCTTAAATTTCTATTGTTAGACAGGAAAATGAGTTAGAAATTGGAAAATAATCCTAGTATGTGAGCAGCTTCTAAACAACTCGTCTACAAAGACACGGTTGTTAAATGTGAACACTATAACTTATAGTATTTGTCATCACTCTAGAGCTGGACATGCACAACACTAAATGAAAACAGAAAACAGTGTGCTGTAGAAGAATAGGGGAAACAGAAAGTCGCTGAATTTTGCCGTCTCTACAAAACCTGGCAGTAAATGCTTGCAGCCATTCAGAGTTGAGCAGAAGTTTGATTGACAAACAGAAAAACAAAATGATTGAGAGATAAAGTACCAGAATTCATCAGATGTGGGTTTAAGCAAGTCCGGCCAACTCTTTTTCATGTCTGGAATCAGATCCTGAAAAAAACATATCAAAGAATACGTTTTTTTCCAAGTATTAGGGTAACATCTTGAGATAAGAAGGGGGAAAAAAACATCATTATATATGTATGTATTTTAAAAGATCTTTTCATGTTGATATTTTGAGGAATTAGGAGTTCTCTTTTTTAGTTTTTCTCCTTCAACTTGTCAGTAGAATAAAAAAACATTTGTTTCTCCTCAGTAAATAACAGATCTTTTTTTGTTAGGCTTTTGATTTTATTTCGATAGGCCAGTGTATGAAACCAGCAGAGAGAGAGGGGAATTACATGCGGGAAAGTAGCCTCTGGCACTACCTAACCATTAGGCAGTGATGGGCAAGTTACTTGTTAAATGCAGTGAGTCGAGTGACTACTTACTCTTTATAACCCTAATGAAGCTTCAGTGCACTAAAGTCACACCTAGCAGAAATGTAGCAAGTTAAGCTACAGCAACACTGCAAACGTTGCTCACTACAGCTACACTTTTTTTCATTTATTACACTACTACTACTACTAATAATAGTAAGGTGATGTTAAGATAAACTTTGCTTACTTACTTACTTTTTTCTGGACATACATTTCAAGCAAATAGGCCATCTACTAAAACATTCACCTCATCCCCCTGTGATCGAGGTAATAGTTGAACATGTTTGAATTGAACTAAATGAATCTGGTTTAACATAAGATAATAGTTATTTAATATGCTGGAATATATATGTGACAGACGATACAAAGGTTTGTGAGTAAACAGAGTGAGATGTAAAAATGATATATAAACAATTTAAAAAGTACTCAAAGTTCCCGACAAACCGGAGATGGCTCAGCTTTCCTCACCATCTCAACGATACTTTCTCCCCTGATCTAATCTCGACTGTTTTCTTAATGTGCATCTCTGCTCTCCTTCATGTTATGTAGTAAGCTGTTGACAAGTGCTTGCAGACTGACCTGGCGATGGTTAACTGCAGGGTTTTGTTCTGTTAACTTCTACAGGAATCACCAACATGTGGTTTTCCCCCAGTAGTTGAACTCATACTCACCTGTCTGCACTATCAACAGGCGTCTTCTACTCATCCTTAACGGTCTGACTTTAGACTGTGAAAGACCGCCCTTCTGAGCTTCAAATTTGTTGTGAGGAGAATGTAGCTAACCTGGACACTACGGCTCTACTTGATCAATAAAACAGCTAAGCTGCTGGAAAACTATTTGATTCAGAAAACAGCAACCCTACTGAAAATGTTGTTAAATACTAACGTTGCTATTTGTAGGGGTGTTACTGCCTAACACTGCCACAACGCCATCAGCGCCATACAGATCTACAGATCTAACATATTGCAGAAGGAGGACGACTGACCCTAATGAATTTAACACTAGATTACAAACCTGTATTTGAGAGGAGTTGAAATGCCAAGATGAGTTACAGTCAATCCCTTTATCTGGCCTGGAGAAAAACAAAGACTCACAATAAGAGATCTCAACTGCTCACTGTTGAGTTACATACAGCAAATGAGGTATAACAACATGGTGACAACTTATCAACATTGAAAAAATAGAAACATTTTCTCAGAGGTTTTTGTACCAAACCCAAACAGGAAGTTGAATAACATTAGAAACACACACACGTTTACATACCAGAGTCCGTGCAGTGTCCAGTAGCTAATGTTTGCCTTACAGTGCTCCATCTGAAAATGAAGTTAAAAATGTTTGTTAATCCATCTGAACACATAAACCTTAGACTCTAAATACTCACGCAACACTTCAAAGATGTAAGATGTTTTTTACTTATTCATATTGCTATCTAACTAAACCAGAAAAGTTCCCTTTCCCATCAAGTATGTGACATTGTTGTGTGGGAAAGAGGAACTGCAGTTATTTTTTCACCCTGCAGTTAAAGGACCAACATGCAGTTTGGTAAATCTACTCTGTCCTCCAAGATTAATCCAAAGCATTCTGATAGAAACTTGTGAAAACATTTAAATCATTAAGCAAACTGAGACCGAGAGCAAACAAACCACAAAAAGAGAACTACCTAACAGAATATTTCCCTGCAGGACGACAAAATCAAACTTTTACTCGTGACACACAGCCAGGCTAAACTCAAAGATGAAGCCACTTTTGAGAAATTATAACTCTTCCTTTCTTCTAAGCAATAAGATAGGGGATATTAAAAAAGAAAGGTTCGGTCAAGAAGAACAAAATTGAAGTTTTTTTGTGTTGTGACTTGCAGAATGGTCAAAGTTACACCCTCAGTGAAAGAACAAAATGTTGCCTAATCCAGCCACAAAGTCACACAGCCTTTCTCATGACTCAGACTTAGACATCACATGATGCTCATGGATTTAATGTTGACGCAGATAATACTGTATTTGGGCAACATAAGAAGGCAACATTTTGTTAAACTAGAATACCATGATGTTGGACAATAAGTTACAACTGTACTTCACACTACTCTGAGTTTGTCACACCATAAACCAGTGTAAACGTTTCAAAAGACATGCAGAACCTGTTTCCATGCATGCCCTGACTGATATTGCAACATTTGCTGCTGCAGGAACAACTGTAATCATATAGACATCATACCTTGGCTAAGATCTTGTGCTATGAATAACATAACAAAGACTCTGAGCTTTCAGCAATTATAGGGTAATAATAACTGTAATACATCTACACCACCTGTGCCCTTTATTATCCATTTAAAGGTTCTCTTTTGAGTTAAAAAAAAAAAAAAAGAAGGTCATGATGTCAAAGGAAACAAAGAAAGGCATGCATGAAGAAACTCACACTACAGAAGGTCTTTGGCCAGTGATGGGTCAAGATCAGTTTGGTCCACATGTTGTCATGATGATGATGGTGGTGGTCTGTGATCACGTAGGCAGAGGACAGAGCTGCTGCCAGGCAGAGCAGGAGAGGAGAGCAGAGCGTCATGTCTGACCTAAAAGAAGGAAATGGATGTGGTATTTAACAGCGGCTCAGAATTATGCATCAGAAAAACCAACAACAATGTTAAGACCATATCCAGAGTGCAGAAATTGTCAATACATTAGACATAGATACATTACAATTATTTTTTAAACTTCATTTTTATTTCAGATTCAACAATTTATACAATAATATTCATAGTTCTTCAATTTTCCTTTTTTGTTTACAGCTGTATCTATATGTTTACAAGGATAAACACAATAATAAAAAAAGCAAACTAAAAAAACAACAACAAGACAGATATAACTTAACTCTATCATAAGGTTAAAAAATAATAATGTGTATATATATATACACACACACACACACACACACACACACACACACACACACATACATACACACTACCGGTCAAAAGTTTTAGAACACCCCAATTTTACTAGTTTTTCATTGAAAATTATGCAGTTTAATGTCTAATTTTACTCTGAAATGAAAGCATCGAACAAATAAACAATTGAAATTAAAAAATAAATCATGGAATCGATTTATAAACCAAAATTTATTCTAAACTTTTGACTCATCAAAGTAGCCACCTTTGGCAGGTATAACAGCTGGACACACTCGTGGCATTCTTTCAACAATGGAAATCAGATATTCTTCAGAAAGTTCTTCCCAAATCTGTTGCAGAAGTTCCCATAAATGTGTGGCACTTGTTTTTTGCTTTGCTTTCACTCTTCTGTCCAGTTCATCCCAAACCAGCTCGATGGGGTTTAAATCTGGAGACTCTGCTGGCCACTCCATGTTTCTAAGCTTACCATCTTGTTCTTTTTTCTTAAGGTAGTTGTGGCATAGCTTGGAGTTATGTTTTGGGTCATTATCTTGCTTCAGGATGAAGCCCTGACCAACTAGGCGCATTCCAGAGGGTACTGCATGGTGCTGCAGAATGCTTTGGTAGCCGTTTTGGTTCAGGGTGCCTCTCACTCTGTACAAGTTACCAACCCTGGAACCTGGGTCTGCCAGACCTCTTCCTGTCAGAGTTTCTCTCAGTTTCTGCGTGCCTCTGGATGGTGAAGGAAACTGTGCTCACTGACACCTTGACTTTCTTCGTAATTTCTCTGTAGGAAAGACCTACATTTTTAAGTGTTATGATGGTCTGTCTATCTTCCATTGTTAATTGGCTTTTTCTTGCAGTTTTTATAGCAACACACAACTTTCTGAAGAACAATACTGTTCAAATAATGCTCATGAGGGTATAGTACCACAGTGTGTTCTAACACTCTTCATGCATACAGAGGGGGTTGTAAATAATAAAGGGAAGTTGGGACACCTCCATTGTTAACCCATTTCATGTTCCCTGTATAAGGCATTTTTGCACAATTCTGAAATGTACATTATTTTTCAGTTTAGGGTAACCTTACCGCTGTTTTTTTTAAACCTCTGGCAGTTCACCACTTACCTTTGTTACCATTTCAAGATATTCATTGGACTTGAACTGCTTGAATTTCAATAAAAAAATGGAAAAATTGGGGTGTTCTAAAACTTTTGACCGATAGTGTATATAAGAGGTGTATAAAAATCCAGATAAATAATAACAAAAGGAGGTAAGAGGAAAATTATTTTTTAATGAATTTTCATATGAATTCATAATTAATTATCTAAGAAGAGAATGTATACACAAAGTCGCTGACATGAGGAGAAACAAATCAGCCTGTGGCTTAGGCTAGGGGACTAACGAAAACCTCATGTGACAATTAAATTGGTCATTCAGCATAAAAACTCGTGACTGCAAACATATTATCTGAGCTAGTTTATTAAACAGTCATTACCTCTCATAAAGCGTGTGAACTTCCTCTGAACACATACATAGCCCTCATTAACAGAGGTGCAGTACAGAGGTGCAGTACAGAGGTAAAACCAATGGTGTCTAACAATAACACACTGGATGAAACACAACTTGCATGTGTAGTTCTGAGAGATTCTTTGAGAAATGTTCAGGCTTCCTAGAGACGACTGAGCGAAGAAAAATAAACAAACATAAGTTCAAAAGCATTTTACGTTATCGCTATACGTTAGCGGTTTCTTCTTGTTTCAAGCTTTAGCTCTGTTAGGTTAAACATTTAGACTATCGAGTCTTCAGAGAGAGCAAACCTAAACAAACCTCGTAAAAAGGTGCAATAGGTGTCTTTATGGGTTAAAGCAATTAAGGTTTGTCTTACCTCATGAAGGAAACGTTGCAACAAAGTATGTGTTGGTTACCGTCGCGCTGTAAATCATTAAAATAACTATTTAGTGTATGACTCAGGATACAGTGAGCTCTGTTGTTTGTGTCCCGCTGTAGCTTTTTTATGTGCATGTCCGTTCAGCCAATCAAAGACGCCGTACACGTCATGCGTCATCACGTTGCTGAGATAACCCACAGACTGCGAAGTAGGTACTTTGTGTAGTTCTAGTTTAGGAACCAAAACCACTGCGGTCTGCGTGTTGAAACTGTTGAAACCTGGTCTGCTGATGCAGTTTAATACACAGTGTATAAAAAAGGTAACTCTCTATAATAACTGTTGTGTCTGTGACAACTTTTAAATAAAATAAAGACGGAGCTTCAATTTAGTATGACGCTTTATTATAGAACGGCAGGTTATATCACTGCGCCAATGTATGAAGTGCGCTGTAAGGCACAGGGGATAATATAACTCCGCATGAATACATAGTCCATACACTACACTTCCTCCCCTTTTAAATTGAATGAATAATAGAACTGAATGCATAACAAAACAATCCATTCAAATATGAAATACATCTGAAGACCTTTTTTTTTTTTTACATAAGCTCAACACCTTTGTGTGTATGAATTCTAACATTTCATAGAATAGAACATAATAGAATAGATGTTTATTGCCATTTGCACATGTACAGGACAGTACAGGTACATTGGAATTTTTGTGCGTTTCTCCCTGAGTCAGCTCTACAAAAAAAGTTAAAAGTATATATAAAATAGGATAGCAATATAAAGAAAAAAAGAGTAGAAAAGTAAAAAGAAAAAAAAACAAGTTGTCGTGACTAACTAAGTAAAATAAAATAAACTGTACAGAAGCTATACACTGTATTACAGCAAAGATATAATACAAAAAAAATACAAAAAATTAAAAAGGGAAGCACTGTACAATGAAATGAAAATATTAATATGTTTTTTTGTCCCTCAAATTCTGTACATCTCTTATTGCACCTGAGGTTATTGCACACATCTTTTTCACATTATATAATTGCACTGTTTTTTGTTTTTAAGGTTAATATTGCACACTTGTATTGCACTGTGAGGTGGTCAACTGTCCATTTAGTCTGTGAGGTGTGGGGTGAGGTACTTCCTTCCCATCTTAATGTCCTGTGCTCACAGCTCAAGGCAGCAGGGAAAAGCTGTTGTGGCAGCAGGCCTTGTGGGTGGAAATGCTCTCTGGCCTGTGGTGTCACAGGTTATAACCCGAGTTCTTCCACCTGAACAGAGCATGAGCTGGGTGCTGTTTGTCCCTGAGGATGCTCTGTGCTTTTCTCCTGCAGCGTTGTGTGTACAGTGTGTCCATGGAGGGGAGGTTGGAGCCAATGATTCCCTCTGATGTCTTGATGACCCGTTGAAGCGATTTCCTCTCAGACAGTGTGGTGTTTCTGAACCACACAGTGACTCCACTGGTGAGGGGCTGACGTTTAAGTCCAGTCTTCTTTCAGCAGCCTGATGAAGTAAAGCCGCTGCTGTGCTTTCTTCACTGTTTTAGCAGAGATTTACAGAAATACATGGAGCAGAGATTTGTAACACATTGTTAACGTTAATAAATATTTTGTAAAGAATATATCAGCATTATTTGGATTGTTATTATGAGGTTGCAACTGACAATTATAAAATCTTGTCCCAACTTTATGACCATCCAAATAATGTTTATAGATATGCTACACAGTATTTATTAACCATTTACAAAGTATTATAAACATCAGCTGTACCTGTATAATAACATCCAGATAATGATTGTAGATGGTTTATAAAACAATTATTAACCATTGATAAAGTATGAATTATCTATTTAAAACATGTTTGTAGATGCTTTACAAAGTCAAATAATGTTAATAGAAGGTTTACAAATAATTTGGTAATCATTAACACACACAATGTGTGCAACAATAAACTGTTAACATGACAAATTATAGCACTACAAATCATTAGCAAACATTATTAACTATCAATTCACTGTTTTTTAACAGTAAAATAACTATAAACTAAAGTTAATTGACTATACATTTACCCTTTATATATGATGGTTATTATAAAGTGTTACCACAATCTTTCTATAATGATAATTAGAGGTCCTTGTGACAGTTTACTTCCTGAAAAGGAAGGAATTATCATACATATGAAAATATTCTTAAAACATCAAGACCATGTTCTAAAGAATTAAATACCATTTAAGAAAAAACAATACCTCAAAAATATGCGGACTACATGTTGGTATTTAGAGTTTAGTTTTCTATTAAACTGTGGATATGAGTAAAATGTTAGTTTTTTTTTTTACAAATCTGCATTCTGAACATCGTCGTATTATTACTTTAAGAGAGACAATGCCATATAAAAACTGTGCAAGGCAACATTATGTGTGTCTGGTGTCAACCTGTAATGTCAGTTTGACAAGGCATTTGCTTAAAAATTAGACTATAACATGAAATCACTTTTAGCAGCTGTGTTTTTTTTTTACAAGCAATCATTAAAATGAATCATCCATAGCTTAAGATAAATGTGTGTTTACCATGTATTTAAAACATGAATAGAGTAGTCCTGACAGGGAAATTGCAGTCTCTCTAATCCCACAACATACTGGGGGATTTACTGTATATCACCACTTTTACTCTCATCATAAATGTGTTTGCAGTTGCTGCACGCTGCTCCTCTCGGTGCAGTCTCAACAGAAGTCACGTGACTGAAGCAGAGATTTACAAAACCCAGAGTGAACACCCTCTGCAGTTAAACCTTTAACTGAGTGCATGCTAACTTTTACTTCAATAGCAGACTAAATGTTAATTTGGATATTTGTCTTTGTAAAGTGCGATGAATTTAAGATTCATAATATACAGTTAATCAGGCCTAAATTATTTAATGTGTGAAATGCCCAGGGGCACATTATGACTCATAATAAAACGCTGAGTTAAATTAGACAAGCGAGTTCACTCAGTTTAGAGTATAATTCATCTTCCTATGTGGATAGCTGTCTGACAAGTCAAACCAGCTGACATGGGATTAATCATACAACACAACAGCAACATCTATTCAATTGTCAGTGATGAGTCTTTATGCAGGGCGAATTCTTACTCGATCAACATGCAGAAAATGTACCACCATCTCAATACCCTGTAACCTTGGAATAGCAGCATCTTACTATAAGCCAGCTGCACGATGAACCAATATCACTGGTCTTTGGATACAGACTGTACCACCAGATGACCAACAGAGGTCTCTTTTCAACCACAGACAGAAGCCTGCCCTGTTTTTTAAAGGTTTATATTTGGGCTTTTTGGTCCTTTATTTAGAGATAGGATGGTGGATAGAGTCAGAAATCAGGGAGAGACAGCAAGAGAATGTGGAATTACATGCAGTTAAGGTCGATGGTGCACTCGGCAGAGAAAGCCACATGCATTTAGCAGTGTCACACCCTGGCTCTTTGGCATGACAATTAAAGGAGTAACAAAAGTAATTTATTGAACAGATATCAAATGATTAAATGATCAACTACATATTTTAACTAAGTATAGAGAGTGAATGTCAGTATAATCAGTAGTGTAGGGTGTGCATGAGGGATAATGTAGTGTGTATTTTGTTAAGTGTTCAAAAGCATAATATAATATGAGGCCACGCTGCAGTCCTCACACCACTGGCAGTGTGCCTGCAAGAAAAGAGCAAAAAATTAGGAACAAGTCAAACAATACGAACCACATCTAACAGCAGCAGAGAGCAGACTGGGCAACAGGGCCTTGATTATATAGCCTGGGAGCACTGGGCACAGGTGTTCCCAGTAGACGCCAATTCACACCAATAAACGCCCTTATTTTTGATCTGGCCTAAACAAACATTACATACTTAGTGACACCAGGGGTCGCCAGAAGCAGTCGAAGATCATATCTCTCCTTTGTCTTCTTGAGTGCCTCCTTCTTTTCCCTTTGGTATTTACATCTCAGTCACATCACACACCTCCTCCTCTCAACCCCCCCATCCTGCCACACTCTCTCTCTTTCCTTTTCTCAAAAGTAACTCCATGTTCTCGCATCATGATTTCACCTCAGATGTAAAATGTGTTCCACAGCTCCTCCACTGTGTCAGGAATAGTCGAGCTGTAACTGTAGCTACTTTTATAAATAGGCTCTGGCCAAAGTTCAGCATGCGACACAGTGCCTGAAGATGCTTCAGAGTGCATATGGAGAGGACTGCAGTGCTGTCTGCAGTGCCCCCAAGAATGATTTAAATGTGTTTAACAGTGGTTTACTATAGATAGCTGTGTACACTGGAACATTAACTATCACTTTGGATGTCAGAGTTTTCCTCTATAAGGACTGACATTCAGTCTGAAACATGTATTTTGTTATTCAACAACTTTGCCAGTTGACTGCGCTTCTTAAGAGAGCCAATCAAGTTGACTCCTTCTGCAACGCTTAAAATGCTGTAAATGGTTTCCTCCTGTAACGTCTCAATGGTCGCACACTTGATGAAGCATCAACTGTTGAGCTAATGTGCCAGAAAGCACACACTAGGCTTCCACATAAAAACTGTAATGGTCAAACTCTGTTAATCAAATAGATGACTGGTTGTAGTGGCCCTGAGTCTTGAAGGATACTGGTTATATATAGGCAGCTCTCTCTCCTTATAAGGCCTCAGGGTGAGGCAGGTGGGGGTCGGCTGGAGACGGGTGGTGGTTTCGTTGGCCTGGTTCTTGGTTTAGGCTGTCTCCCTGTGGATTCAGGCTGACAACCGAAGTCGCTGCAAAGGAAACCTCAAGGGGTAAGAAAAAACATAATTTTAAATTCTCATTTTCCTTTTCGGTATTCTTCGATTTATTAATCTACCTTTGTTTGAAACCCAAGTGGGACCAGTGGGATGGAGTAATGGAGAGAATTTTTGGGCACTGATAGTCCCTATAATCAGAGTGGCTAAGAATGATTTGATGTATAAATTCTGAAGAATGTGCAATAAATGAGTTAACCACTATTTTGAGGATAATGACTGTTATTGCGTGGTTTGTGACAGGACAGATGCACAGCAGGGTTCACTCTGTTTATGACACTCTAATTGGTTTAAAGAGGCTCTTAGGGGACAGTCATATTTGGTTTTGACACTTGTGAGTGTTGCTTTAGTGGACAAATTGTTGTTTAGTTGATCTGGGACTCTTAGTGTTTATTTGATCTTTCATTTTAAACTTTTAAAATTACAAGGGATTATAATTAATGCATTACAACAAGTGTCTGTATCCTAATAGCAAGTTGAACAAGTTGGATATTTTCAGAGGATTGTGCGGTTATGGTTGAGAATTAAAGAGGTTTTCAGTTACAGACGCAGAGTCTAAGGTGTCATTTGGCAGCCATTTTTGCTGTTACAGTGTTGGCTGGACTGACAGAGTAAGAGGACAGCCACTGGGGTGCAGGACTGACGGGTCTAGAATATGACTGGTCTGCAGTGACGGCTCTTCTGAGGGTAGTTTTCGTTTTGAAGATGCTGAATGTTATCCTCTTTCTATTTCTTAAATAAGGATTTTTTTGACATCTTTTCTTGAAGTTGCATGAATAAACTTTACTTACAAATCGGGGGCAAAGGGGACTAGTTTGAATTTATGCTAGATTTCTGCAAAATTGTTGGACAGGCTGGTTGTCTGATCCTTGATCTAATATATGCAACTATTGGACATTTTCTCTCACAAATTAGGCCTGCACGATACGAGAAGTGTGAAAAAAACAAAAAAACAGTCTTTTTAACACACATTGGCATAATTTAATCTGAGGGTCACTGATAGCTGGGATGAGCTTCAGTTTTAAAATGGTGTGATTAATGGCCGTTATACCCTGGCCTCTGTCCAACTAGTAAAATGTAAACATGCTGAGTGAGAAAGCATTGCTGATTAGATCAAATATTTTGTATATATCAAGATGAATTCATTTTTTGCGATGTGTTTATTGCACATACAGAAATTAGGATAACAACACAATTGTGATTAATTGCGCAGCTCTATCACAATAAAAAAAAAAAATTACTGTACAACCCAATGATGCAAACAGGAACTGTACTGTCGGTATCAGCTGTAGAGGGTTAAGGTTTGGCATGGCGATGTCATCTAACTGAGTGAGAGGCTTCTTGATTGGCAGTTCCGGGGCACTAAGGATTCAGTTTAAGACGACTCCAATGATAGTTATGGTGCCCTGAAGCTTTGGAGAGTATTTCAAAGATGTGGAAACAGGAGTTACTTTGCCAGTGGAGCGAGTCTCAAGAGCCTCAAGAGTGTGGTTGAGGAGATGGAGTGGTTTAAAGTTTCCTCTGACCTTATTTCTGGTCTCCCAGGACAATCATGGTTAAACGCTGCGATGTGTGAATGATGTAAGACAACGTTTTGCTGCTGCTTTGGCTTGTGTACTGTTAAACATGTACACTGCTTACAGGCAAGAAATGTTAAAATAACTCAGAAACAGAATGGGTAATTTTCTGAGGGTAAAAAAGCTTCAGTTTGAAACATTTAAAGTTTAAAATAGACTGAGTTTTACAGTAAAAGTGTTTCCTCCTCCTTTCCTGTTGATCCCTTGAATTAAGGCTCACTGAAAGTGACCATCCTTTCATGTGTGATTAAGTGTTGTTGTTGCATTTTTTTTTAAATCAGAAAATTAGGTGGAGAGTCCTCTTGTGTAATCTAAATGTAATCACTCATGCTGAATATGGAGTTTTTCAATGTATATACAATATTTGGTGCCTTGGCTGTCAGCAACTGTTCAAACACATTCCTGGACCAGCAATAGTCCGCACACAGGCCTTTTGTTTATGTGTTTGTGTACACGTGTGTGTCTGTGTTGCTGCTGTCTTAAATCTATATCGTGTCACCTTGTCATTCCTGAAGCTGACTTCTGTGTTAGTGTGTGCCACAGTGATGGCTTTTCTTTTTGCAGAGGGTGAGGAAGTAAACACAAACATACTGTCTTCACCAAGTACCAGATTCTTCATTAAGAAAAAAAACTGCAGTTTGTGTCTCAAACGCTCTTTGGAATAATCATCACTCTTTTTTTCCTCTTTTATGTTGGTCTTCATCAACTTGTATCTAATTCCTGGATTTATTTCAACAGTACTGCAGGGTTTCTGGCCCTTGTGTTTGTGTGTGCTTGTGTTACTGTGTATATTGTCCAACAGGTAAGTAAAGATCTATACTGTACGCTGTTACCATGTCAGTCTGTGTGTGTGTGTGTGTGTTTGTCTACAGTGTCACCATGTCAGAGCGGATGAAACGCGGGACTTACGACCATGAATACCACCACAAACAGAGCCGCTATGTGGTTAAAGAATACAGCAGGTATATGTCATACATTAATGCTGTGCTCAAATATGAAGCTAACAGTAGAATTGTAACAGTAGTAAGCTTTGCTGTGCTTCAAACGTAATGTGTAAACAACCTTGTTTAAAACCCAAGACAGGCTTAACGTATAGTAGCAGTTTAACTTAGGGCTGGACGATATGGACCAAAAAAATATTTCTTGATGTATTTGAGCTGAATGGCTATACAAATGTATATCTCCATATTTTTTTCAACTGTAAAGAAATAACAAAAGCAAAGTCAGTTCTAAGTCAAATCCACACGGACAAAATGTCCCACAGGCTGCACAATTATAAAATGTACAGGGAAAGGGACATCAAAATAAACTACCCATTTGTCAAATAAAAAACGCTAATATTAAATAATGCTGCTTAAATCAAATGCAATAGATAAATTAAATTTCCTTTTCTGCATGACATAATACAGTTACAAGCCGTTTTTTGAGTTGTGCTCAGAGAGAGAGAGAGAGAGAGAGAGAGAGAGAGAGGAGGAGCAGAGTGACAATGAAACTGGTGTCTCCACGGAAGAAACCTGTAACTTTATTTTAATGCAGCATACACTATATCAGTATAAAAAATATTGTTGTACCTTATATCTTGTTTGAAAGTACATCGATATATCTTAAAAACTCTACATACTTCCCAGCCCTAGTTTGACATTAAGCTCTCCTGAAAAACAAACTAACCCCAGGCTAATCTTGACATTAGCTTTCATGAGGGATGACTCATCCACGCTCTTTCAAAGACATACAGTATATCCAGGCAAAATTTGACCTCAGTCCATCTGAACTAACTGCAAGAAGCAGTAACAAGTAGAAAATGTTTAATTGATTTGGGCTCAAGTTTGGACAAAATTTAGACAAATCCAGATGGATGTACTGTAATGAAATAGTAACACACCATGGGGAAAACTATCAACTCTTTTTTTCTAACATAGAGTGTTTATGTGTTTGTCTTTGTGTGATTACTTATAGGTTTCTTGCTGCTGTGTTTCATGTCTACTGACCACTTAAAGTCTTCTTGCTTATAACCTGCAAACCAGCGCCCTGAAGACTACGTAATCATTTTAACAGAGGGTTCAATAACAAGTGCTGAATTCTTCTTACTCATACTTTTTATGCTCTTAAGGATTGTATTGTCCTAACTGATTCTTCACATAAGTATGAAGCTTGTTTGTTTAATGTCCTCCTGAGCTATCACAGATTAGCTGATCACATATGAGTTAACTAGTGTTTGCTCAGAAAGTTAATTTCTCTGCAGATTAGAAAACGGCTCAAAATAGATTTGAACAATCTAGCCCTATTCACACATGCACACACAACTCTTGAATACGTCCTGAAATGTTCAGGGCGGGCTGAACAGCTGGCCAAATCTTTCACAAAGACTTCATTGGGAAGTTTTCCTGCCAACTCACTTAAAATGTCTTGTCCTGCCTTCTGAGACCCATCCCCTCAACTCCCCGTTTGGCAGGGAACACTTCCCACTGAGACACATATGTGAACAAACAACTCAGGAACTTCAGGAGTAGATGGGTGAAAACGGTTTAAAGTGGGGATATATTCTCCTGCACTTTAAATATGGTCCTCCAAAGCAGTCTAGGTGACAAAGTCCATTCAGTCTGTCTTTTCCAAGAGGTATCACAATGACTGTACAACAACTGTTGTTGTACCCCAACCTGGCATCCACTCGCGAAACAATATATTATTTTTTAAGGCCTTTTTTTCCCTCAACAACTTGTCCCTCTCCCGCCCCTCCTGCCTCATTCTCGTCACAGCGGTCTTAAACTAACTGTTTTGTCTGTTGCAGCCAGCTTTCAAGATCCGTACAACTCTCTGGACTGCATGACACTCTACTTTATTTTCCGGTGGTGGGATGACTTCAGGCCTGAAGGCTTTATGAATGAACAGTGATGACAGACACAGACTCAGAGCCTTTCACGGCTGGCTGTGTGTCTCCTGCTGACAATCTCTAGCTTTCAGCCAAAAGGCCACACCACAGCTCTCAGAGTGCCTCTCATATTGTAGATTTGGCTTTTTTTGAGACATAATCTGTTGATTATAAAACAATGTGTCTTTTAGAGCCATCTTAATTAATCATCTCTGATTTCTAGTGTCCATTATTTGTAACAGCCGTGTCATTCACAGTGGTTTGTGACATTGATGGCAATGACATGAATGGACTGTTTTTGTTTTCCAGGAAGTTCTTACAACTTGCAAGTTAAATATTTATCTATAGAGACACTGTCTCTTTAACTTGTCACAGTACCACTTCTTCAGTCTTTATGAATGCCGGTTGGGGTGCAACAAACCATGTTCTAGCAAGTACTGGATGGAAGTGATGGATCAAATACCATCTGATTGATTTTACTGTTACTTTTAATTGAAGTGAACAGTAGGGATGGACCATCTGACTCCGGTCCCTATTCCAATATCAAGTAGAAATCTTATATACTAGTGTTTTATAAATATGCTGTATGCCTGACTTTGTGGAAGAGGCAGAGATCATTCTTTAACTTAAAATTAGCATCGGGCTTGACTCGAGATAGCTATCCTGACTTTGTAAAACAAAAGGTAATACATACATTCAGAGATTGAAATGTACTAAATTGTAAATAATTATTAAAATATTCAGTTAATTGGCATAATACCACTTCAAATTTAACAGTTATTTAATTAAAGAGGGAAGGTGCAGCGCTTCTGACAACCCTCAGAACAACGGATGATACAGGTAGTTGATGAACTTCTTGATACCGAAAGCATAAAATACTTCCTAATAGAGCCCTACAGATTTAATGGCCAGCCGATATTATATTATCTAGTGACTATTGGTATCGGCTAATTATATCGCAGATAATCTCCGATAATGCTAGATTTATTCACCAGTCAAATAACATTTCATTTGAGGTTCATTGTATTACACTAGCAATTCTCTTTGATCAGCAGAGTCTTCTATATGGATTACAACAAGCGGTGATGCACATACATGCGCAGTTACTTTCCAGTGGAGTGACCATCAATATTTATCTTTTCCACAAGTGTTAACTGCATTTGTGTATATCTATATATAACTATTTCTACAGAGCAAAAATAGATGTAAGAAAGATAACGGCCAATATATCGGTATCCCCTTTTTTGCTACATGTAGTTGCTTACTGTACACCTGATGTATTGCATGCATGTCGACATAAACATCGAATTGACAGAATTGATCCCACTGTCACAATCCAGATGTTTGGTTCAGTATCAGACCGTGATCTGATATTAGTAAAGGTGCATCAAGAGAAAAGTGAGCTGGCTTGCAGCTTGTGGCCCCTGTCTTTGCTCATGGAAATAGGATTGTAATAAATGTATCTTTCATTTAAAAAGTTTTTTTTTCATTCATGAACTCTTTCTTTGCTTGAATATGTTAGTGGAACTGACTCACTGTTTGTCTTTAGCTCTGAGTCGAAGGAGGAAAGATATGAGCACAAAACACGAGTTCACATCCAAGAGATGGTAAGAATCTGCGGACAACTTTCTCTATGCAGACTTGAAACACTGGAGAGAAAAAAGTGTGTGTAATCACCTGAGGCTTTGTAATATGTTATACTGTAGTAATACACTAATTGGATGAAATGCTGACGTGTGATAAGTGAATCATTTTGATGTGTCAGTTATTTATTCTTATTCTGGGTTTCTTTTCTAGATTGCGGCGAAGATGTTGGACAAATATGTGCGTGAGCAGCCCATGATCAGGGGACCACATTTCGTGGCCAGACTCAGATCCCACACTGTGTTTGAAAACAGCTCAGTCAAGATCTTCTGCACTGTCGAGGGCTTCCCCTCACCTGTGGTGAAATGGTCAGTCTGAACTAAAAACATCTTTTCCTTTTCACAAGTAAATCAGGTCTTATCGAAATAAGGTTAGTTTTTTTTAGAGTATGTCAACTTTATTTTATTTCATGAAACTTTGTTGGTCTTTCACCTGTTCTCTCATGGATACGACAGTTAGATGGCAGCAGACCTTTTAATTGATATTGGGAAGGTTGCTGGAAATGTTGTTTATCAATGTTCAACATGTCTTTTTCATATTTTAGGTATAGAGATGATGTCATCCTGAATCTGTCCTCTGGAAAGTACCTGGTTGAAGCCAAAGGTGGAGTCCATTCTCTGGAGATCCCAAGGTACAATAATCATTACAAAAACTCTCAGATATCATATTGTTGAGGCCAGAGGTACTGCTTGTCAACAAGCAAGGCAGGCAACTGCTTGAGGCCCCAGTCTAGTAAGGGGCCCCCGAGGGCTGACAAACTTTACACAGCAGTACTTCAAAATGTACAAATTTTGCAATGACAGCAGGAAGCCTCCCGAATGGAACCCCATCTGACAGCTTCCTGTTAAAAACACTGAAGGAAAATTAAGAGGAATTTTCTGTCTGGGAGTGAAAACAGCACAATGGTGGTTGCAGGGGCCCACAATAGATTTTGCCTAGGGCCCCAACAGACTCTAGAATCGTCACTGGTAGAGGCCTGTAGAGGCTTCTGCTATTTACTCTAACAGTTTCTGACAACTCAGCTTTAATTTAGGTAGTACCAGACATCTGGAAAATGTCATGTGTGACTCTAAGAGAAGAGGAAGGTGAAGGTAATACTTAAATTAAAATATTAAACACAGAATATTTTATCAAGTTTAAAAGATGACATTTTTGAAGGTGTGTCCAGAGTAGGGATAAGTGAATCTCCGTCTCTGCTGCATTCATTTTGACCATTTTTTGTTTTTGTGATTCTCTTTCAAATTCTCTTAAATTGTATTTGAAGTGCGTTGGTATGAGAGCTTGCAAGAAAGATTAAACACATTGTCATGTACAGCAGAAACTATTTGTGATGGTGTAACACTCCACTGACGATAATGCATCGATGCTAATGTAAACACTGCAGTAGTCCGAAAACTTAATCTAAATTTTAGTATGAGAATTGTATGTTTTTCACCCTTAGAGTTAATTTTAATTTATTTCTCACTGTTATACTTTGCTAACCTGTGCTTCTGATCATCCATCCCATGACTGTCTTGAATATTGAGGCCTGGAATTTGTTCTCTTAATGTATCTTATTCAAGTCAGTTCTGGGCATCCTTAATTGATGCCCAAGTGATACCTTCAAATTCACCTCAAGCTACACAGCAGACTGACACAAACTCACACACATTTACTTCCTGTTTGTACAGTGAATGGTCTGTCATGTCTGTCCCACATTATTGGGGGATTATCAGAGTGGAGCATCCAACAGAGGTCCAGACCTTGTTGACCTTATAGTTGGTTACAGCCATGGTCTTGAACCATCTGATTTCTTGTCGGTCCCCTCAGGTTCATCACACAAATTCCAACTAGAGTCATAACGTCAGAGTCGGCTGACTGGCTGCATGGTTACAGAAAGGGGGGGAAGGGACGGGGTGGACATATCCCGCTCTGCCTTCAGTCTTAGGAAGCTCAGCTGTTTGAGTGCTGACCTCAGTGCTACCTGATACTCCTGGATTCTTAAAGTCATCAGTCTCTCTTTGGATTCCAGTCACCTTTAGCTCCATCTGTCTGTTACAAACGCACAGTTCAGTTAACAGCCGTTTGCTCCTCGTAGAAAAGTTCTCTTTAACTCTCTGAAATCTTCTTACCATCTGAAAGGAATGCTTTGTATCTGAAGTGGGAAGCCTGCAAGGGATTGTTACTAAGGAATGCTTGGGGAAGTATCCTAGTTATAAAAATAGGCTGACAGGACTTAGAGAAAAATCTCTTTTGAATTTCAAATTACCAGCAGCTTGTCATATTTTTAAGACGGCTCATGACTGAGGGAAAAACTGCCCTACCCCCCCCCACGTCTTGTTCCTAAATCCTTACACCATGGCATTCCTGTACACCCCCCCCCCCACACACACACACGCACACACACACACACACACACACACACACACACACACACACACACACACACACACACACCAACACACACACTTGGACCATTGCTGCATTTGAGGATTTACTGAATGCTGTTAAGATTCAAAAATAATTTAGTGCTTACCCTCAGCTCCCTGCTGAGGAGGAGCTCACTGGAGCCTCTTCCTGTCAGTGTAGTTCAAGTGATCTCTTTATGCCTACATCAGCCTACACCGTCTGCCAAGGCAGAAATTCTTTACGTAATATGATTAAGTAGTGTTACATGAGGTCTCAGAAAAGTAAGGGAGGGGAGCATCAGGGTGAGACAAAGATACAGAGAGGGACTGAAAGACAGCATTAAAACATACAGTCCAGAGGTCCTCAGTCGTTAAGTCATTTATGTGTGGTGTGTGAGGACAGACCAAAACACATTGAACTAAAGAGCAGTCCACCATTCACCAAGCTTGTCAATGAATTTTTTTTTTTTATCTTGGCCCCAGGTTAGGACAGAATTGCTGACATCAGAAGCTTCAGCTTTTTGATTTAGAAGAAATATGCCAATCACAAGAGACACAGACGGTGATGTATTACATCCTTCAACTTAATCCGGGCATACAAGTTTCAGCAATGTAAAATAAGATTGTCTATGAGTATGTCCTGATATATAAAATTAGATAGTATAAATATATATCCTATATATATATATATATATTCTAGAAATAAGAAAGGATTATGTAACAGATTTGTGGCTCTGTTTCCAAAAGAAAAGTCTAATTCCAAGTCTATTCTAAGCATTACCAAATCTATTCAGAAAATGTCAAGACACAGTTTTTGTTTCATGGACTGTGAGATTCAACAAATGGAACCCCATCCCCCTGTTAACTTTTTTAAAGATTCTGCTGTAAAAGTGAACAGGCCTTTGTTCAATCTTTACAGTGCTCCCCCAGCTTCTGATAATCTCTGAAAACATACATTCTTGTGGGAAATAGAAACTCATTCATTGCAGTAAAGACTGATAACCAAACCCTGCTTCTGATACTTCATATGTAGACATTTAGTCCCATTGCTGAAGTTCTATGTGGGTATACAGTACAGTGTGTTTGTAGTCTTTTTAATTGTTGATGTTGTTTTGTTGCTTATCACATGCAAGGATTGATAATCGACAAAGACATCTTTACTGGGAAACATTTTTAACCCATGATTTGGTTCTCACTGAACTTGTTTATTAATGTGTATTCATAGATGCTCTACTGATGACACGGCCCAGTACACGGCTGTGGCAGTTAACCTCCATGGACAGGCCTCCAGTCAGGCCTCCATCATTGTCAAGAGTAAGTCCTTCCATCTGATTGGCTTGTATTTCATTTAGTGATGATTGACAGGTCTGAATGCAGTTAAGTCCTGGCTTTCACTACAGAGAGGAGTTAGTCCTTTATAATCTTGATTTTTAAACACCCCATGTTTGGCTGCACAATGTACAATGGAATGGTACAATTTAAAGCCCCAAGGAAAATCAACAAAACACAGAGGGGAAAGGTCTGACAATGAACCAGCAAGAGGGACGGAACACTGAAACTTAATAGACACAGGGGTAATTAGACACAGGTGAGACTAACGACACAAGTGAAGACAATCAGGACAATCAAAGTGGAGGGAAACCAGACAGAGAGAGGAAGTAAGACAAGACAAGAAACACTGGGGACAAGAACTACAAAATAAAACAGGAAACACTTAAGAGAACACAGAGAACTCAAGTATGTAACAGTAACACACAGGACAAAGAGAAATAGGAGGATAAGAAATTACAAAATAAAACAAGAAACACTAAAGTTTAAACTTGGAAATAAAGCAATAAAAAATACATACAAGGGAAACAAGCAGCGTGAATGAAGAAACAAAATAAAACGGGAAATTAAATTGAAATACTGAAACAAAATACAAAATGTAACAATTCAATTATTTTGTATGCATAATGGATTCATCAATCGTATTTACTGGATCTATGATTGCACACAATAGGCTGTCAGATTTCCACTTTTTATATCCTTCACTTTTCCAACTATCTAGGGTTCAAGCTGGAGGATGAGTCTTGCCCCTATGCATGGCTGCCTTACGAGGGTAAGCATCAGGATTAAATCTGTCGAAATACGTCCAGTAATAACACGATCGTTCCCTTTGCAAAGTATCTTTCCCATTCCTTGTTTTTGTCTTTTCTTTAATCTATCAGCTGCAATGCTTCCCAAGATCCACTACACTAAAATCAACATCACTTTCCTGGAGAAGTTTGGCCCAGTGTTTTCTACTGAGGGAGGATCTGCCTCTCTGACTGCTACCATGACTCTGAGCCCCAACCTGGCTAACCTGCAGCCTGAAGCTCAGTGGTACAGAGATGGTAATGTTACGACTGTGTAATCACTCTATAATGGCTTGTGATATATAGTTATGTAGCCAGAGGCACAGTAGAGGAAAAATGTGGATGTGCTACTGACATTTTAATTGCTAATGAATTATAGTGAAATGAGTTAATGATACACTCCCAATGTATGAGTGCTTTAATATGGTGTGTGTGTCTGACCTTTGTATGCATGACACAAAGGTGCAATGTGGCCTAAAGGGCATGAAAGCAAATTGTAAGATTACTCTAATATATTCAAATCACTATGTGCATTCAGACCTCATGTATCATTTACAGATATATATTTCAGCTGTAGCTCAGAATGCAGGATTTTCAAAGTCTTGTAGTCAGGATCTTGTTTCCCTTCCAGACACGCGTCTTTCTGACTCCAAATGGGTGAAGATTGAAACTGGCAGAGGAGTCACCACCTTGACTCTTCCTAACCTGTACAAAGACGATGAAGGCCTCTACACACTGCGCATGGTCACTAAAGGAGGCTCCGCAGAGCACAGTGCATTTGTCTCTGTCTCAGGTGAGGTGTGCCACATAACTCCACAGTCAAACCAATACATGTATGACGTTACAGCTTCAAAGACAAATGTTGTCAATGTAACAATAAGCCATTTGAAACAACTTTACAGATATCACTTTGCTGCGATTTCATTATCATCAATAAAATGTAATTGAGTCACTTTCTGTGCAGATGGTCCTCCCCCAGTCCCCCTTGCACCTGGTGCTCCGATGGACATCAAGATCCACGATGCCAACAGAGACTACGTGATTGTGTCATGGAAGCCCCCAAATACCACCACAGAGGGACCAATCCTGGGATACTTTGTGGACAAGTAGGGGGTTCTGATATAAACAGCAAACATAAGGGAAAACTAATAGATAACACGGTGGTGATCACATAAAGGTTGCTTTATTATAAGTAGAAGCAAAAGAGGGAACTTTATTTAACGGCAGCTATTCTTCTATTTTCCTATGCAATTAACTTTTTCTAGTCACATTCATTTATTAAAGCATTATTCTGTTGATTTTTAGTAAAGGCTGACATTAATTTACCCATCATGTATCACATGCTGAAATAAAACAGCTTTCAACCTGGTTGTCTCAGTAAGTGTGGGATTGGGATGAAGTAATCTCTGCAGTGATAAAAGTCTATTGTGTTCTTATCTCCTCGACTTGTCAGATAGACTTATTGTAACGATCTCATAAAAAAGAAATCTCCAGGAGCAAACTTGCAAAGGAACTTTAACTTCCTCTTTTCAGTTGATAATAAAATCTGTTATGTTGTGATTTTTGTGCTGTCTTGCGTCACATGTCTGTAATTGGTGTGTAGAGACTGTGTTTTAGTGTGGTCTTGACTACAACACTAGTAGAAACCATGACATCATGAAAACCAGAAAAAGCTAAAAACAAAACAAAATTGAAGTAGTAAAATTTTTTTTTAAGTTTTTGCATTCCAACATATATTCTGTGTTTATCTGTGTAACTTTCGAACACAATTTTACTATTCTCCTCTTGTTTCCATTTTTTAGATGTGAGGTTGGAACTGAAAACTGGGCCCAATGCAACGACCACCCCATTAAGATCTGCAAATACCCCGTGTCTGGGCTGTTTGAAGGACACTCCTACTACTTTAGAGTCAGAGCAGTCAACTCGAAAGGAATCAGCAAACCCTCCCGCATGTCTGATCCCATCGCTGCACTGGACCCAACTGAGTTTGAGAGGCTCCATGGTGGGTTTCACTGTTGAGACATGGTCATTCTGCCCTTTATATTACATCATGTGAAGACTTTAAGAAGTCTGCCTTGTCATTGAATGGCTTGATGGGATCAATGGGGAAACAGATGATTGAACTTTTAGACAACATTCTGTTTTATTTTCCTTTAGCCAAAAAACTGGGAGGAAAACTGAATGTTGTGTCTTACCATGATGAAGTGGAAGGTGAGTTGTTGAAACATGAACACATCTTCATATATTCTACAGTCCGGTGTGTATTTGTACTTCATCTTACTGTGTGTTTGTATTTAGCTGATGGAAAGCCTCCAGGTTCTCCATCAGGGATGAATGCCTCAGAAATAGACAGGACATATGTGGTTCTGAGCTGGAAAGCCCCTGCATACGCCAGCAGCGCTCCTATGTGGTACTACATGGAGAAGGTAACAAATCATTCCATAACGTCATCAATCCTGCTTAACCCAAACACACTACTCACTGATTGGAAAACTAAAATAATAGTTTGTTTGATTACCATTGGAACTGAATGCTGTGTGTTTAAGTGAAAAAATGACAGAAATAAACCAAACTACAATTAAAAGCTTTGGGAAAATCCTAAAACCATGGACTACATTGTGCATACTACTCAGTCATGCTTACCAGAAGCTTAACACAATAATGCATTGCCTCCTTTGCTCTTTAGTGCTTTACACACTGATCCAAACTGTGTATGAGTAATATATACAGGCTAATAGGCAAATACAATTATGACCATACGGCTGATGCTGCAAAGGACAGTATACAACAGTTAGTTCCGATCCGACGGACAAGATGCATTCCATGATTTCTGATACATAGTGTACAATGATTAGTAAAGTTTGGACCTCTGACGGTACAAAACGTGACAGAACAAAACAAACTTGTTTAAGAAGCCCTTTGTGGTGTGTCAGTGGCCTGGTGGTTGCTTTCGCGCCCCATGTGTGGTCGAGGCTGTGGTCCTCGAGACAGGCAGCTCTGGGTTCAGGTCTGACTTGTGGCTCCTGTCCCACATGTCATCCCCACTCTATCTCCCCGCTTTCAGCTATCCACTGTCCTGTTTCTCCAATAAAGTCACAAATAGACCAACATTAACCACCAGTTGAGAACCCCTGATCTACAGTATTGGCCTACAACCACATCACAGCAGTGCTGATATTCAGTATATCATCCTCTCATGTCATATTGCTTATCTTGACCACTAAAATCTGCAAACTGTAGATTATAACGTGTCTTTGTGTGATTAAAAAAGCAGCTTTTTTTTTTGCAAATGTCATAATGATCTGCTCCAGATCAGAATATTATGAACAAACTAAGTATTACCAAAGCTTTTCAATAGATCCATGCTTAAATTGTAGCACGCAAATCATCATGTGTGGATGTGAAGTTGCAGACGGCCTGCTTCTCTCTCCCCCCACAGAGCATGGCAGGCAGTGGTGCGTGGCAGCGCGTTAACACTCAGGTCCCAATCCGATCTCCCCGTTACGCTGTCTTTGACCTGGCAGAGGGCAAAGAGTATCAGTTCAGAGTTTTGTCTGCTAATATCTACGGAGCCAGTGAGCCATCCGAGCCGACTGGAGTTATCCACACTCCAGAACTTAAAGGTTTGTTTTTGTCCGTTACTTTAACCGTTACACAGATCAATAAGTGATTTGTTCTTTTTATGAAATGCTTCTTATCCTGTCTTCAGGTGTGCCATCTGCTCCCGGTCAGGTGATTTCAACCAGGGAAACAGACACCTCTGTCCTCATCCAGTGGGCTCCTCCAAAAGAACCGAACAACCTAATTGGCTATTACATTGATCAGTGTGTGAAGGGGTCCAAGGACTGGACCTCAGCCAATCACAAACCGCGCAAGAGCACCAAGTATGTTTGCAACTCTTTAAAAACATCGCAGCTTACCCCTTTGATTGGTGACCATGGCAATTTGAAACCATCCTTTTGGTTATAGATACAACTAAGAGTGTGAACCATCCTCAACCTGCAAAGTTTCATGAGAAAACGTGTTGTAATTTGACGCAACATTAATAAAAACTAATGTGTTTTCCGCAGGTTTGTGGTTAGCGGTCTGACCAAAGGAGAAACCTATGTGTTCCGTGTTCAGGCTATCAATGAGCTGGGTCTGAGTGATGAATCCCAGGAGTCCTCACCTCTGACTGTTAAAGCTGCCCTGAGTCAGTATTCCCACATTTTTGGTCATGATGATAATGTTGATTCATGATAATAATTACAATCATTTTCTGCTTTTTTTAATATCCTGTGCTGGACTGTGACTTTTTTTTTGGTCTTTGGTGGTGCATATATAATTGTGCAGATAAGTATTCAAATTCAGCCCTGCCATTTTAGCCACCCCCTCTGCTCCTTACGACGTCGGACTGCTAAACTGTGACGGACATTCGATGGTTCTGAACTGGAAGAAGCCTCTTCTCTCTGGAGGAACAAACATCAAGGAATATTATGTGGACAAGAGACGCAGTGGAACATCCATGTGGAGGGAAATTAACATCCCACCAGTCACAGAAAGAGTCTACAAGGTATAAAGCCAGCTTTGCAGGAATTATTCTATCTAGCTTTCTTTGGTTCACTCGATCAATCGCACACACACACACACACACACACACACACACACACACACACACACACACACACACAGTCGTTTATTATTCAATCTGTTCGACTTTGCAATACAAGTTTGATTGGCGTGTTGGTAACTGCGGTAACATTTGGCTCACAGGTGGAGGGCTTGACAGAGGGAGCTATCTATCAGTTCCACGTGTATGCAGCCAACCTGGCTGGCCTTGGACCAGCCTCCACACACTCAGCTGACTTCACCTGTGAGGTCTGGAATATGCCTGAGCCTGGTTAGTTAATCTTCTGACTGATTGGGTCACCATCATTGACAAACTTTGAAACGTACACAAAAATATGTCATGCAAATGTCTGCACCCCAAAAGTCGTAAGTATGAGGATTGAAGGATGAAAGTTTGAATTGAAATGTTCACACACAAACAGATGTACTAGTCCTCCTGTCTGTCTGTCTGTCTGCTGTGTAGGCCCTGCATATGACCTGACCTTCTGTGAAGTGAGAGATGATTCACTGGTGGTCGAGTGGCAGAAACCTGTCTACACAGGTTCTGGACCAATCACAGGCTATCATGTAGAGTACGCCAAGAAGGGCTCTTCTGATTGGACCACAGCCGATGAGAAAGCTGTCAGTCATCGCTTCCTCAAGGTAAGAGCCCTTTTTTTATATGGTTGTTTTTATATTAGGATACTGAGGTTAATTCATTCCAGGATAACCAGTCCATTTTGTGTGCAATGCTATTGCATACAGAGTGAAAGGCAAATGGACAATGCAACTTGGAATGCATTTGTTGCTACACTCATGGTGAGTTAATGTTGGGTCTCTGTAATATAAAGACCATGATGCACACATGCTGTTAGAGTCTTCAGATAACAATCATTATGAATGATGCTTTACAGATAGAAATATATTGACTGATTGATTGAATTTATTGTAAAAGTTGCTTTGATCCAAACATTAATTGTTAAAATATCTTGATCATTGATATAACATATTTGACATCTTATGCTTATTTTTTTTAAACAAAAAAAAAGTCAAAAATCCTCTCTTCTAAGTCAATTTCTAAAAGATATTTTTGGGCCACTTTTCCCTTTATATAAGACATCTAAAGAGATATTAAATGTTGTCAGGAGAGACTGGGGGATGTCATGCAGTAAAGGGTCGAGGTCGGATTCAAACCCATGTTGCTGCCACAGGGACTACAGCCTCTTTACATGGGGGTACAACCGCTAGGCTATCCAGCACCCCTAAGTGGATATTTTCATGTTTTTTAACCACAATCAGCAGCTAAAAAAAACAGTTAGGTTGAAAGCATCAGCTTCAGCCTGAGGAATTTGTGATGGGTGCATTTCTTAATAATCTTGATTGAATTGAGCATGTGTTTATTTTAAATAAGTCTAAGCCTTCTGTTGACTCCTAATCACTGTAATAGTGTATTACACACATTAAAACATCTGGTTTCTGATTTTGCTACCAGCTAATACTCTTCCATGAAACTGTGTGACACTGACATCTAGTGGTTAATATTAACAGGTACTCAGTTACAGCTACAGCTGACAAAAATATTTAAAAAGGTTGATACTAACACTTTGTTTTTGAAAAGTGTAAATAGCAGAAATAAGGAGATGCAATATGAGAGACACTGTCATTTGACAAATCAATTTGATATGGGATTGATTCATGTGAAATGTCAAAAAGTAGCTCAATAAAATATTGGTTGCAAAATAGTTATGGTTTTAGTTGATATGAATTGGGATCAATTATATTATAGTATAGTATTAATAATAATGGCTCCAGGCAGCAGTAGATATACACAAGGACACCAAATCTAATTATATTTTCTTGTGAAATTTACAGCAACACTGGGTTGTTTTTAATGTTAATGTGTTTCCTAGGTAACAGGTCTTGAGGTGGGCACCAGCTACGTGTTCAGAGTGCGTGGCGTCAACGCTGCAGGAGTGGGCATGGCCTCAATGCCCTCTGACCCAGTGACTGCCAAGGCTCTGGAAGGTAACGTTTACTCACAGACGGTGGGAGATTTCTGTCTCCTTTCTGTCTTCTTCAATTTAATTTCTGGAAAAAAAAGGCAGTACAGGGAACCTTCTGATTAGATAAAACACAGTCGACACATGTCTTTACTGTGTTGAAATGATGAACTCATTTTGAAAAAGGCTGGAGGTGGGAAGGGAGAAAAATCTGAAAACAAAATACATTTTGTTGGTCATTTCTTCTGGGCCTTTGAAATTAAAGAATGACTCCCTATGTGTGTGTTTGTGGATTCAAGGTTCCCAGGAGGTGTCCTGTGTTGTGGATGAAAAGTCTGGGGACATCGTTCTGTCATTTGAATCCTGCCAAATGAGCGAGGGCTCTCAGTTCATCTGGAAGAAAGATTACAAAGAAATCACAGACTTCTCCAAAGGAGTAGAAATAAAGACAGAAGGCAGCCAGTAAGACCACAGAAATATTAATTCATACAAATACAGATGTGCATTTTGATTCTTGGAAAAAAAATACATCCAAATCTCTCTGTCTTTGTCCCTCTGCCTCTCTCTTTCCCTGCATCATAGTTCTAAACTGATCTTTAAGAACGCAGTTAAAGAGGACTTTGGGACATACTGTGTTTCTGTCACCAAGACAACAGGAGTGTCATCCAGCTATACCATCTCTGCTGAAGGTAAGATTTACACACCGCTGTCTGGCTTTGGTGCTTAGACACCCAGCCAGACTCCAGTTTTCAAAATGTGGAGAATCCCAACACGTCTTTCTATAACTAATAAGTCTATCAACAGTTTGTGATTTTTTTGTAGGTTATTGCGATTTAGTTTGCTTGTTTTCACAGTTTAGATTTACAGATTATTTACTTCTGTTGACAAACTGTCATTTGAACTGACTCCATTATTATGTTCATCATATTGTCTGCATGCACGTTTTATTAAGTGCATTAAAGACTAATTTCCAAAAGACATTGAAGACATATTAATGAAAGTTTCTCATAGGCTTAGATAGTGAAAATCTGAACCGCTGCATTACAACAACAACTCAAACAATTAAAACTCAAACCTTAGGAAGTGTATCTTATAGTCAATAATACCGTATTGCGCTTATTATAAGCCGAATTCACCTGAAAAGTCTGGGTAAAGATCTTATTTCAATATATAAAAAGGAAAAAATAAAGCCTGAGTTGATTTTGATAAGTACGAACTATCTGCTGTGCAGCAAGGACAATGAAAGTTCCTTGATTAGTGTCTTGAAATGAGAATGTTGAATGTGTTTGATACACTGGCAGATATTTGTAGTCATTACAAGCAATACAGGCCTTATTTCTGCTTTTATTTTTGTTAAAATAAAATAAACAAAATGTTTATCTGAACTTCTCAAGTGAATGTAGCTTATAATAACTGTTTTGAAACATTTTCTATGAGGAATTAGACAAATTCACGTTCTAAGATTTGAGTTTCTGCAGTGCTGAGAAAACTATAGGCAGAATGAAGGCTGAAATAAGATGAAAGCAATGAGAACATGCTTTCAAAACACATTTTTTATATAGGCAATAAACAGTTTCAACACTCATCTGATGTATACTTCGTCATTTCTCCAAGCTCAGGGCAGTGTGTGTGTGTGTGTGTGTGTGTGTGTGTGTGTGTGTGTGTGTGTGTGTGTTTTAAAGCCACATCGACATGGTAAAGGGCTTTCTGTCAGAGTTACACAATACTTTCCCTGCTATTGCACCACTATGCTACCAGGCTATAATACGTTATTCAATGCGCCTTTCACTGATTGCTTCCCATTGGGCCGACAGATTTTTCTACCTCAACCGAATAACGAAAACTCCCAGGATACAAAGCTTCATCTATTTCTCTTAGATCACAGGTCTTTGACAAAGCTCCGTCAATTTAATATATACCAAAATGCAGTTTCAAAACGGACCTTTGGGTCCAGCTTTAGGCTTTAAAAATTCATAATGTAGACATCCCTAATAACATTTTTAGGAAACTATCTGCCTCTTCCGAGTAAACATAGTTGCTGTAGTGACTTCTCCAACTCCAAACAAAGCGCTTCAATCAAATGGGATGGTAAATTGATATCTATGTGCAAAGTGTTGAACTCATGTTAGTGTCTTGTTTGTGCCCGTGGCTGATATGAATACGTTGTCTCTTTTTGTTTCAGAGTTGGCCAAGATGCTAGCACTGAGCTATGATATCAGACACCCAAGTAGGTACCTCTGGCTGACTCTTTCCTTCTCTCATAATCTCTCTCTTTGTCCCTTTTAATCTCTCCTCTCTTGTACTTTTTCTCTGCTGCCTCTTTAATCTGTCTCACCCACTCCCTCCATTTCTCCCTTTCTCCCTTTCACGACGCCTCATTTTGCTTTGTTCTGACTTGCTTTGAACCCTTCAGATTTCTTTCTTCTTTTAGACGCACATTTCTCTTTTTATTTGATCCAAAAAAGGTCTTACCTGCTTTTGCATCACCTGCCTAACCAATATTCATGTCTCCTGTTCGTTTGCCTCCTCTCCTCTTCACGTCTCACCTCTAGTCATACCGCTGAAATCAGAGCTGGCCTATAAGATTTTGGAAAGAGGCAGAATGAGGTTCTGGCTGCAGGCTGAAGAGATTTCTTCCAAAGTCACCTACAAATTCTTTGCCAACAACAAGGAACTGTCTGGAGCTGATGTAAGATACACTGTAGTTCAAAAAAGAAAAAGTTAAATGGAAAAAGATTTTCTGGCTTCAAGCAGAAATAATTGTCTGCCTGCCCTCGATTTACACTGTGCATGATTCAGTCAGCTTTATGCTGCAATATTACTTCTATAATCAAGGTTAAAAAAAAGAAGCCTTTTCTGCCATTTTCACAAAGCTCCTCTTTCAGGCCTTTTTTTTTTTTTACAGCATTTAACTCTATTTTTCTGCAGCCAAACAAGATGGGTCATGATGTCGCTACAGGTATCATTGAGTTCATCATGGACCATTTCACTGAGGAGAATGAGGGAACATTTACCTGCCAGATCACAGACGGAGGAGGCAAAGGACAGAGCTCACTGGTTCTGATCGGAGACGGTAAGAGAGGACAGGTTGAAATTCACACTATCCTTATCCTCAGTGTCTTTAAACGGGGAAAAACATGTGCAAACCCTGCTGAAAATGACCACAATCTGTCCCCATATGAACAGTAAACAATTGAAAATAAGATGTCTATTCACCCCCACATTTTAGTCTCAACAGTGATTGAGACAAGAATGAAAAAACCTGCCAGTCTCACTTCCTTATTTTTCATCCTTACTATTCAATGGGAAGCAGGAAGAACACGTTCCAATGGAAACATATTGAATATAAAGTATAGTCCTTAGTTATAGTGCATGTTATTGGAAGTATATTTACGGTACTGCATCTCTGAAGACTCTTTATGGAAATATTTCCTGTTGAGAATTGTTAAGGTGGATATAGAACATAGAAAAATGTATATCTTTGTTTTCATAGATTATTGTATCAATCTCATGCAGGGCACATTAGCATGCTAATCCAGTGAAATAATCTATAGCAGCTACTGGCAACACTTTGATCTTTTATTATCTTCTGTTTATATGTATTTGTGTGTGTGTTTGTGCAGCTTTCAAGGCAGCGCTGGCTGAAGCTGAATACCAGAGGAGAGAGTACATCAGAGTCAAGGAGGGTAGGAAACACAAAACACCATCCACTTGAAAGCTTGTATGAGCTTTGCACGACTTAGCTAGCGACCAGCGCACCACTATGTTGCCTTGGCGACGGCTTAATCAAATCCATGAGAAACACACAAGCATCACTTAAGCTCAACCTTTAAATTCAGAACAAACCCAATTCAAATTGATGACTTCATGACAAAAATCAGTGCCAAATGTAGAAGAGTATAAAGCAGCTACTGTAGGTGTACATGAAGGTTGCAGTTGTATTTATGCATTATGCATTTGAAAAGGAGCTCATACATTAAAGTTTCATCAGGAGTTTGTCTTCAGTTCACGTCCTTCCTCGACCTCTCTCTCTTCTTCCTTTGTCCAACACAGGTCCCCACTTCAGTGAGTTCCTGTCACTTCAGGTCGGAGATGACTGCTCTGTCACTTTGGTCTGCAAGGTAAACACAGAGAAGCTCAATAGTTATTGAATATTTACACTCAAAACAAACAGGAGGCTGACCTCTGGGCAGATGATTAGCAGTTCTTTTGAGGCTGCGTGCAGGATGCAGCAATGCTGTGTGATAATTTGGCCCTATTTGAAAATAACCAGAATTACACTGTCAGGATTTCATCTTGGCTCTGTTGGCATGAAGTATATCATTAAGGCCATTTTAAAATCAAAGTATTGTGCATATCCCTTGAGATGATCTGAAGCTATTCAATCTGTTAGTTTAGCTGAAAGAATGATGTAGATACACAACAAACAATGGGGTGACTTAGGAGGTTGAATGTTGAAGGCAATCAAGCATCCCTAATTTTGGAGAAAAAGACTCCATGTGTAGTTAGTGTTAGTGATGTGAAGACAACAGCCTTTGTTCTTTTATATTCTGAAATAATCACTGCAGACCAACTTTGTCCTATTGGTAAAGTTTGAATAATCAGACTTGGTAAGAGTAAGTGTCAAAAGTATAACCTTTATGTGTAGGTGTTTCCTGGTCTTAAAGGTCACAAATTGTTGAAACTTCAACAAGTTTAAATAAGTCTCAGAGCTCCCCAAGACATATCTGTGACGTTTCTTGCTAAAGATCCACTCTATCCTGTATTTTATCATGCCTATAAATCCCTCTATTTCAGCCCTGCTCAGAACAGGCTGTTTGTATGTCTGTGGCTTTAAATGCAAATTAGCTGTATCTGACCACGCCCACCTATAGTTTAAGGTGAGAAGGCAGAACAAACACCTAGCTGTAGGAGTGTCACCCACCTTTGTGATGTCATGAAAATCTCCAAACATCCTGTTTGAGTACACATTTTCTGAAAAGTGGAGCAGGCAAAAGACGGAGAGGATGGACTTTTCTCATAACTTGGGCAGGCTAGGGACACTCACAGTATTAGTGTTCAAAAAACATGGTAAAGTGTATTTTGCATAATATGTGACGTTTAATGAACAACTTTATTAATTTAACGTTACACACATCACTGGCCCGTTGCATACCACACATTTTAAAACCCATTACAAGATTAAAAAGGAAAAAAAAAAATCTCTATTAATGGCATTCATTTTTAGTTTCTTTATGGTTGAACTGAAGTCAATTTATCCAGGTGGTATTACCCACAGAACATCTCTAATGGATCTGTTACACTTCGACTGGTATAGAGCCCCGGTTGCAATGAAAAGATAAGCTGCAACACATCCAAACTCAGGACTGATAAGTAACTTTTAAAGAGTCATTGATAGTGATGCTGCAAAATGCAGTTTTTGGCCTGGGTCCATTTCAGACTGTATGTATGGCAACAATCAAAATTCAATACCTTGTTAATGATGATTATTTATTTATTTATTATTTGATGTGTTTCAAAAGTCCATCTTCCGTACCAACAGCATGGGGATACCCCAGGGGTCAGTTCTAGGTCCACTGCTATTTAGCATGTACATCAATGACCTACCTGAGATCTGTCCTGCAGCTGGCTGCCGAATGTATGCGGACGATACGGTTAAACACATCTGCAAGATCTGCTAGGAAAGCTGCTGGCCACTTTGCACTCTGTTGCAAAATGGCTTGAGTCATCTCACTTAACATAAAATATATAGAAAAAAAACGTCTCAACATGTTTTTCTATGCATAAACAAAGGGATAAAGAAACATTTTCAGTTAAAATAAATAATGAGACCATCAATATGTTTAAAGAGGTCAAGTACTCAAGTTCTAAATCCAATCTCAACTGCTTCAGATCATCAGAAAGTATCTCTCATCAAGCACAGCCCAGCTCTATGGTATGTGTATGCTATGGTATTATCACATTTATCATACTGCATCAGTTCTTGGTCTCAAGCCTCACAAATAACTTTAAAGCCTCTATAACCAGACAATAGAAATCATGGACAAAAAAACCTATAAGATGGCACCATTGTTGTGTATGAGAGAAACATAATTTATTTAGCTTTGAAAGCTTCATTGGCTCCTGCAATCTCAAATTAATCTTTAAAAGACTGCATGGTCTGTTTGATGAATTTATTACAAGAGGTCAGGATTCTAGTCGAGTCAACACACGCGCTTCGGTAACTGTTGCATTCTAATGCACAAAACCTCTTTTGGACAATCAGCCTTCTCTGTTGTAGGAACTAATCTCTGGAATGGTCTTAATGTTTTTAACAAAGGTATTAAATCATACCTGAAGGAGAAACAAAATTGTTCTCACACATAAATGTACATGCGATCACAAATGTCTGGAGTATGTTTTTGCTGCCTTCTCTTTTTAATTTTATTTTATCCCTGTTGCATTCATAACTGCACTGTATTTATAACTGAACTGTTTTCATTTTCTTCTCCTTTTTATTTTTTTTGTCTTTATCTGGTATTTCACGTTCTGGACACGTGTTGCAAATTATCATTTTGCTAAAAACACCAAGAGCAGTGCATCTGGGACTCGTGCATGGTTAAATGTTACATCATCAATGTTACTTTATGTCAAATAAACAAATAAATAAATAAAATGAATGTTGGGGATTCCTTCTTTTATCGCAGGTTGCTAACCTGAAGAAGGAATCAGCTTTCCATTGGTTCAAAGAAGACACAGAGATCGTCCCTGATGTGAAGCCTGACCTGGGATCAGGAGTCTGTAAACTGCCAATCAAACTGGTAATTACACTTTTGTAGTTTGAATCTTCTGCATGCTGTAATATTGTGTACAGTTATATTATTTCAATGCATACAAGTACATACTGGGATGTAGTGCGATGCTATACCAAGTTAAGACAAGGAGGGATTTTATTTGTTACATAAATGTTAGTGCTTCTCTGAGGATCCAATTCTGAGGAACACCCTGTTCAAAAATAATCACAGTTTTTTCAGATTTATAATTCAACAAGTTTGTGCTCCTTATGTTCCCTACGCTACATTATGGGTTTCCTCTTTGGTTCTTCTCCAGTTTTCACTGAAGACAGCAGGAATATACAAGGCCACCATCAGTGATGACAGAGGAAAAGATATGAGCCAAATTGACATCTCTGGAAAAGGTACACATTTATTTTTACATAATTCATCTTAAAGACTTATTATAGGAGCGGTCTTCTAAGTCTCAGAGTTTAACATGAAAAAAAAAGAGCTTGATGCTCATTAAAAAGTAGGAGACAGGAAGAAAAATACTAGATCTAAATTCATAAGCCACTCATGGTAAACTGATGAATATTTAACAAACTTTCTAACCCCAACCTTGTTTTTCCAGCTCCTGAATAAAAAATAGTTCTTGTCATGTGACAGCTAACTCACCTCCTGGATGTTTCTTTCCAGAGAAAATGCACTTGAACTTCTTGGAAGAGTTTGTGTGAAATGTTCTGCACTGTAAGCTGGAACTCGGTAGCCGTTGAAGCATGCACTTCAGAGTGCATTTTAATGGAAGAACTGAGAATTAAAGTCCTATTTAAATCATCTTTGGTGAAAGAGCTAATTAAGTATTTATTCAGAACGGAAGGTAAAGACAGTTTACAGATACAGCACCTCATATCTTCTTGCCTGTTTATTGTTAATACATTTGTTGCCACCAGTAAACGGCAGTATTAGCTAATTTAGTGATGCATGATTAATTTGTTTATGGCAATAAGTCCCCATTAACTCTGTAGCAGTCAGAGTGGGAATGACAATAATGTCATTTCAATCCAAGCCTTTCATTACTAAACTTTAAATGCAGCCACCAGAGGGCAGCATTGCATCTTGCCAGCCTCCTAGCTTTTTCCCTGACCCCTCATGTTTCTCTCTTCTTCTAGTCTTTGAGGATGCCATCAACAAGATCAGCCAGCTGGCTGGTAGGTTTCTGCCTTCTACACATACACACACACACACACCCACACACATAGGAGGTGAATACACATACATCGATATCTCACTAACAGACGTCCACATTTAAAACGGCCCTAAACATTACCCCTCATCATCTGCTATACCCACTGAAGGGATGGAGTCCAAATTGTCCAAATTAAAACATGGGACATTCACACCACAGTGATAAGAGATTTAGATTCATCACCAGGCCGATGTATTTCTTTTTAAAATCCCACTGCCGTACACACATACACACACGCACATACACACACATACTTATCAGCATGTGTCAGAAGATGTCATGCTGGAAGCATTTGGCCATCATGCCATCATGTGGAGAAATCACTTTAAGATTCCACGTGCTGTCACAGAGACAGTGTGGAGGAGCATCTTACTCCTATTTTAAGAGACAGTCACTTGACAGCTCTGCAGAAACTGCTACAGCACAGGAGAAAGGGTTCATCACTGTGATAATGGGAAACCATGGTGATGTGACCAGGTGCATGACACACTCGTACACTTGTAATGTGCAGTGAGCAAAGTCCCACACAGACATAGTGGAGTGCCAAACCCCTTTTTAGGTATAACATGTTTAAAAAAAATCACTAAAGCCTCTGATGTTTGAAGCATTTCATTAAATACAGAGGACAAACAGTCTGCACTACACATCATTTTTACTATTCTGCTTCCAGAGCTGGGTGTAGGGAGCATGAAAGAGAAGTTTTGTTTAACTAAATATAATTCTGATGCTGAAACCAGTATTAGAAATAGCTCCAGTGCAAACTACAATGGAGGATTGGGTATCTCTCAATATGAAATCTCATTCACGGTTTATTAGCCCATTACAAACTATCTGATTATTCAAACAGTAGCCTTGACTGGTATATTACTTATACCAATATATTACTTCTGTCACTAGCAGCAACTGTTTTAGAAAGGGAATGAGGAATGGTTTCAGGTAAGATATCACTTAACAAAACAAGTAACAATGGGGTAATGCCAGGCAGAAAGTCAGCAGGGTTTTTGTCATCATACATTTTAAGGCGGTAAAAACATAGAAATAAAACAGTTTCAGGTAAAAAAAAAAAAATCAGTTCCTCTGTTGCTGGCTCACGCACTCTTGCTGTGCAGCTTAGCTTGTTTCTTGATATTAAGTATGTTAGGATACCTTTAGTATACTGAGCCAGACAATGACAGGATTTCAAAAACATACAGGAGTCAAACAGCTAATAAATAAATAAATGACTGTCCTGATAACACATGAAGTCTAAACTGAAAGTCTGAGGCACTCTGATGCAATATGTGTCTACGCGTTTCAAATCAACTGAGTCCTCATCAGGGCATTACAGACAGAGACAAAACATGTGTTTAAATACAATTAAGATGTCATGTGACAGAAGTCACATTGTAGAGGTCACAAAAGCTGATTAAACAACAAGCTGTTTTTTCTTCTGCCTCAGAATTTCAGTTTAGACTCCCATTTCTTCTTCTCAATGAACTTTGTTTGTAATCAGGACAGTCGTTTATTTATACAGTAAGCTATTTGACTTCTGTCCCCTGTTCTTGAAGAGCACCTGATTCCTCTGAATTTTTATGACCCAGTCCAGCACTCACTACAACCTTTTTTCTAACATCCAGAAAAGGTTGGTTTTTGAAACAATATCTATGTGTGTTTTTTTTTTTTAGCACTTTAAGCTTCAGATGGATTTAAGGTATCGTCCAATACTAAAGTCTAGGTCTCAGAACCTACATTGGAAAGGATAAAAAGTTACAGATTTTTTTTTTCTGAGCAATACTTTTTCTGAATGTTTCAATAAAAAAAAAAACAATACATGAATGCCACTTAAGCACAGCCCACTGACATGAACATTAAAACAAACTACTACTCAGACTTTAAACTATCTTCTGTACAAACACACAGCTACGGGAAAATATATTTTTGTAGTGGTCTCTTGTTTTTTTTCCGGAGCCGTACACACAATACACACAAGGAACTGAATGTGTTTCATTATCTCCACACAGTTGATCTCAATATAACCATGTTGCAAAGTTTCCATCAAAGAGTGCTCATTAGTCACACTCACATTGACTGATTAATCAAGTGGTTTCACAAAGGCACTATACGGTCCCCATATCCTATAACCTATATCATATAACATATTGAGTTTTCCTTTCTTATCTATGTCACTTTCTCTAAAGGAAAAGTAATATATCACTTGCATAACCCAATGTGTAACACTTGGTTTGTGAGTCCTTTTCAAATATATAACAGTAATAATTGTCAGAACATTTTTTACTTCAAATGGATTGAATTTCGACAGAACTGCAGAAAGCAGCTTAACTTTCTGCCACTCACCCTGCAGACAGAGAGAGAGAGAGAGGCCAGGTTATCCAGGTGCAGATTGGAAAATATGTATCTGATTCTGATTTCAAATGTGCACTCCTCAACCTCTATCACCTCCATCCCCTCCTACAGGAGCCAGTGCAGCCGAGCTGGTGATTAACTGCACGGCAACAGGCATTCAGCTGCAGTGTCACATGAAGTACTACACCTCAGAGATGAACATCGTCTGGTATCGTGGGTGAGAAATGATATTTATGTCTCAAATAACACTACCGCTTCTTCTATGACCAGAACAATTGCCAAGAAGAAGAAGAAGAAGATAAGAATGACAATAACTCTATGTGTAGTCTTAGCTGTGGTTTTAAGAGGAAACAGAGCATCTTTAAGTCTTGATATGAAATGCTGACCACAAACACATTATTGTGCTCTTCTCCCGAGTTAAATCGGCAGGAGTGGAAAAAACAATAAGCCACATAATAAAACTGGTGATGGCTTTTGGCAAGTGTTTTCATTATCCTGGTTATTGCAGTAAAATCGCCCTGCTTTGTGACAAAATCACACCCCTATCGTTTCCTGTAAAGAAGCAAGGTTTTCCTGCACTTAGAAGCACTGTGTAATACCCCAGAGATTAAAAAATGTGTAGGGAGGGGGGATTGGGTATGAGCGAAAGAGAGAAAAAAGACAAAGAAAATAAAGAGAGAAAGAGAGAAGGATGACAGGGGCGAGCGGAGAGTTTTGTGTTATTCAATTATTCAAGGAACAAAAATGATGGAGATTAGATTTTTAACCTCCCTGTCCTTTTGTGTGTGTGTGTGTGTGTGTGTGTGTGTGTGTGTGTGTGTGTGTGTGATAGAGGGGGGGGGCAGAGAGAGAGTGCTACAGAAGGAGAGAAATTGATATCCCATGTGTAACATTAGGTGGGCATGTAAACACGAATTCCCATTACCTCTGAAGCTTCGTACTCTCATACAAACACAAACAAACACACACTAACCATTAACCTGCGCTCTGCACTCTTCTCCTCAGTGAGACTAAACTCGCCCACGGTGACAAGACTGTGATTGGAGGAATTCCTTCTATGGCAACAATGGAGGTATTGTGTTGTCCTGTACAGTTCTGTATATGTCTCTGAGGTGGCTACATGTGTGACATTTAACAGGCAGTGGCACCTTTTTCTCATCAGTGTTGCTTTAATACCTCACATACCAAACTAAACAGAGGGAGCCAAGGAATAAAAGCAGCAAACATTTTGAAACTTATGAAATGTAACTTACAAAGCTTTTGACTGTTATTAACTTGTATATTAAAGCTCCTGTGAGGAGTTTTTAGTTGGATATAAAACAGACTGAAACAAATATGTATGCCTTTTTATGACCTACAAAAGCAAACAAGACCATCAGTAACAAGATCCTTTCTATGAAGTCTTTTTTAATGGTGACAGGCACCCTGCAGGAACAGACTCTGTTTACACTTCCCATGGCAAAGATTCAAAGCTACAAGTTTGACAGATAAAGATAGCAAGGGTTACATTTTTGTCAGATAACACTATCCACACTTGTACAGAGACATGACACATACTGCTTTGTCCTCAAGGGGCGCTAAAGCTTGCACAAACCAGAAGTTCCTCACCAGAGCTTTAGCTAATATTTTTCAAACAAATACAAAATAAACAATCTAACACTGGTATACGTTTTATGTTTCCACTGGTGCATGTGTAATTGGTTTATTGATTCACAGGTAATTGAACCAACAGAGAAGGATAAAGGAACGTACTCCATCGTGATCATCGACCCTGAAAACTCACATAAACGCACACTGGACCTGAGCGGTGATGGTCAGTATCTTCCTTCGCCTTCTAATTTATTTTAGACTAAACAGTTCAAATAAGGATTGAAACAATGCCAGTCCATATAATGTTTAGTCAAGATGGGGTTTCTCCTGACAATGAGAGAGGTGGGATTTTGAAAAGTGTGTTCAAAGGTCACATACTACACATAATACACTTTACTATGGTTTTCTAAATCTAATAAGTGTCCCTAGCCGGTCTACAAAACCCCCATCCTCTCCGTCTTTGCCTGCTCCCCCTATCTCCCTCTATCCCTTTCCAACCCCGGTGCAGTCTGGGCCTGTGAAGGCTGTTTCGTCATGAACCGGGGATCCGGCCGAAGATTTCTGCCTTTTAATAAAGCAGTTTTTTCTTACCACTGTAACTTTTGCTGCTTTGCTAAAGTGCTCATGATGGATTGGCCGGATCTTTGTAATATAACAATAAGTAAGGTCTTTTACCTGCTTTTTGTAACATAACAATGAGTAAGGTCTTTTACCTGCTTTTTGTAACATAACAATGAGTAAGGTCTTTTACCTGCTTTTTGTAACATAACAATGAGTAAGGTCTTTTTACCTGCTCTTTTGTAATGTTAACAGACAAAGAGTAAGGTATTTTACCTGCTTTTTGTAAAGTGTCTTGAGATAACACTTGTTATGAGTTGACGCTATACAAATAAAATTGAATTGAATTGAATTGAATTGCTCCACTTGTCAGAAAATGTGTGCTCAAACTGGCTGTTTGGAGATTTTCCCTTCATGACATCACAAAGGGCAGCAACCCCTCCCCCAGGTGGGTGACACTCCTACATAACTAGGTGTTTGTTCTGCCCTCTGAGTCTGCCAACTCACCGTAAACAATAGGGCATGGTGCGAGAAAGCCTGAGCCAGGTCCCTTTCCAGAGAGGGGGCGTGGTCAGACACAGCTCATTTGCATTTAAAGCTACAGACACAGAAACATCCGGTTCTTAGAAGGACTAAAATAAAGGGGTTTATAGGCATGATCAAATACAGGATCAGAGTGGATTTTTAGCAAGAAACTTCACAGACATATTTATGGGAGTTCAGATACTTATTTCAACTTGTTGAATAGGAGGATAGTATGTGACATTTAAGATTGTTTTTCACTCAAAAAAGTACTTAAATGAGAATATTGTTGGTGAACATTGAGATGTAAAATTCCTTTTGTTTCTTTTACAGTATATGAGAAGGCCTACACCGAGTTCCAGAAGCTCAAGTAAGACTACTTTCTAATTAATTAATCTAGTTTCATCAGTTGTTTGATTTAGTGTATATTTACTGGAGACTCACAAACTGACACTGCTCTCTCATAGCATGTTTCATATTAAGTGACTCAACGTGATCTTAATGGTTTCCCACAATAGTTTCTGTTCATTTATTGAAGACTATATTCTTTCTCCTTGTGGAGCTATTTTCGACTTATTCACACTACTAATTTTTGGCTAATGCTATATGGGGGTCCTTGGGGTGGCAAAGTTTGACTTACCTTTTCATTTGGGTTTTTTGAGTATTTTTTGCTGTGCATGTTTGCATTGGATGGTTTTTAAAACCCTTCAAGGATATAGAGCTATATCTGAACTAATACTAGATCAGATCAGCTGCAGTGATGGATCCTCTACTCTAAAACGTAGCATTTCAGGACACAAAAAAGAAGTGAATCCAAAATCCCTCATGCTTGCTGTCTTAGAAAAGTCCACTTTATTCTCCCCAGAAATAGAAATCAATGTTAAAAATAGAACCTGTCAGGTAGCAGAGATGCTGTTTGATCCTGTGGCTAATTGGGCGAAAGTGAAAACTCCTCACACTGAATTTTACAAATCCATTTAGAAAAAAATCGATTGAAACTCTGAACACTAAACACTGCATGCAGAGTGGAAACTGTCCAAATCCCTCTTCTAATTAACATTCAAAGAGAGACATTTAAGCACAAGATTTTCCAAACACATTGGAACAAGTGACACCCTGTTGCCCTTTTTGATTGAGCATCAACATGCCAGGAGGAGAGCAGAGTTCCCCCTGCCATCTGGTCCTGTGGCTGACCTCTGCTCTTCTCATGCTGCTCTGACAGACCTCACCCAGCTATTACAAAGCAAAATCTTTCTTTTTCCCATAGAAAAGATTCTGTTAACTCCTGACTGCACTACTGTGTAATGTGGTTTTGGCTCTAAACCCAGAATGCCTTGTGTCCAAACCATCTGACCAATGCCATGGACCCAAAAATGGAACAAACATTTTGTGTGTGGTCAGTGAGCAGAGCCAGGTAGTGGAAACGGACCAGAAACCAACCTGGCATTACAATAGAGGATTGCATTTAAAAATAATGGAATTATTATGTGTTGTTTTTAATATTTAAAAGAGAAATATATATATACACTGTGAGGAATATTTCATGTTACAATGTTGCACTGAGTGATGACAATGATAAGGTGACATAATGATTATGATACTGTTTTATTTATCTGATCGACAAATTGAGAGCGACTTCTGACTTCTCTTTCTGTGTGTTTCAGAGCCGAGGCCTATGCTGAGAAAAGTAAGTTCGTCCATAAATTCTCCTTAGCTTTTTTTACATATTTTTTCCTTAATCCGCATTGGCATATTCCCAAACTTGTCACTCAAATGTACAGAAAAATACCTGAAAGAATCAGCAGCAGAATTGGCAGTCACAGTGTTTCGACCAGATCCTCGCTATGTCCAAACATGGCTATGAGTGAGAAAGCGGGACCATAATCTCTGACAGTTTTCACAATCATCATTGATTCTAATTAACATGTATGTGTCCTAGAGTATGACACTATTTGTAACATAAATCCCGTAAAAAAAAGTACAATCTGGAGAGTTTGAACCTTTTCAATATCTGAGGATCACTCTGGTAGCTGTGACGACCACTTCCTTCATCACTGCTGAGTCAGGTTTTGATGTATTGGACAATCTTGCCTGGTCTCCTCATATGGACTGTTAAACATGTGAACTTCCCTATGAACTCTGGTAACTTTCCCAAAATGGGTTAACTTTCTTTCACCCCCTAACTACTTGTATAAATGTTCCTGTTTCCACCTGACATTTCCTGCATAGACTATTGCTCAACAAGTCTATCCTGTAGAGCTCAGATAGAGCAGACACCTAGGTACTCCTCCTTCAGAATAAGCCATTGTTCCTGCAGTATAATCTTCCTTTGACTCTGTGTAAATCACAGGTGGTCCAGATGCAGTTGAAGCAATAAATTCTGTTTTACATCTTTAACTCCATTTTCCAACATCCCTCATTTTTTAACTGTTACTGAATATCTACTATAGCAGTTCTATTTCTAGAGATGACTGCTATTGTAAAAAGTAAAGTAAAAACTCTTCAGAAGCTGATTTCTAACATTATACAAAAAGCATTTTACAAAAACACTCAGAACAAATAGTTGTTGACATTTTCAGAACATAGTCCTGAGTCATTTGCCTTAAAGTGTCAAAACATGCGAAATGGTAACAACTAGCAAGAACGGCTCTTTTATAAACCCCTTTACAAGTTTCAAAATCTTGTGAAGAATTTCATTCATTGTTTGAAAAACTTTCGGAATTGAGCAAAATCAACTGAGAACTTTTCTCTCGGTTGATTCTATTTGTTCTTTTGAAGTTTGGAAAAGTTCATCATCAATAACTGAGCAAGAGGAGAGATAGCTTACACTCACTCTGGTTTGTTTCAGACCGTGGCCAGGTGATTGGAGGACTGCCTGATGTGGTCACTATCATGGAGAAGAAGGTCAGTTTCTCTGTGTGTGACTGAGTGATTCTAGTTTCTGTGAGTGTTCATGATTGTCCAAGTTGTTTTTCTTTGTTCCTCCTGTAGACCCTGAGTTTAACATGTACAGTGTGTGGAGACCCCAAGCCTCAGGTCTCATGGCTGAAGAACGGATCAGATGTGGAACCTGACGATCAGGTATCAGACAGAGCACTTTGAACATGGTGTCATTATCTTTATGGTTTCTCTGCTACACAGTGACTTTTATATAGAGCCTAACCCATTAATCGGCCGGCCGATAATAGCTGCGTTAGATTATCCAGGGACTATTGATGTTGGCTAATTTTACTGCAGATATGGCCGATACTACTAGATTTATTCACCAGTCAAATAACATTTGAGTGCCATTGTATTACACTAGTTATTTTTCTGGCTGGCACCAAAAGTATGCTAAATGGATTACAATAGTGATTACAAGCAGTGATACACACACATGCATAGTTACTTTCCAGTTGAGTATAATAAGAATAATAATAAGTTTATTTATATAGCCCTTTCCGCAGACAAAGGTCAGCGCTACATGAACAAAAAAAAACAACAGCATACATACAATGAAAGAAGAAAAATTAAAAATGTGTACGTCATGGACGACATTTAAAAATCGAAAAGATATCTCGGTATCGGATTTTTTTCTCTCCCTTATTTCGGCATCAGCCACAAAAACTCCATCTCAGTAGGGCCCTACTTTTAAAGCCTTCACTTGGTCCTACCAAGACAACAGTGGCTCCTTCCTTTCTTATGATTAATGACCTTATTAATCTGATGCAGTTGCAACACTGAGTATTTATGAACTACTCTTGTGATACTGAGGGCTTTCCAGACTCTGCATGTCTACTAAGTCTCTGTTGTTACTCCCAAAGGGCGTTTGACTCTGTTTAAATGTTCTGCACATACTTTGGAGTCATATTGGTAGAATCTTAAAGAGCAACTTAAAGTAGGCTACATACTTTCAAAATGCAATGAACAAATATGACTACAACAACAGTTTTATTATCATGGTATCATGTTTTTTAAAGCACTTTAAAAAAAAAAAAAAATTTCATACGTCTGTATAAAAAACTGTTGTTCTAATTATTATAAGAAGAGATGTTACCTTTTAAATAATGCACACACTGGAATAAAGTAGTTGAGAATAATATTGCACTGTTGAATGCAGTAAATACTGGAGGAACTATCAAGGTGGAGATACACAAGCTATTATATGTTCTCAATTCAGTTTTAATTAGTACTCAGACTTAATTAAATGGATCCCGAATGACACAGTTTACTTTCTCGTTGGAAGCTGACTGATCGCACGGCTGGAAGTCTCCATAAAGCCTCCATATATGCGATGAGATGTTCAGGTTAAAGGGAATCAAGAGGCCTCTATGTGCTCTTGTTGACACTTAATCACCAGCTTCAATCCCTCACAGGAGACATCTATGGCCTTTTAGGTGAGGTCAGTATTATTAGCAACCTCCTGGGTCAGTAATGGAACAAATGCTTTTCTCATAAGTCATTGACCTACTTGCCAACCAGCTTAAGTCTACAGTCTTCCCCCAGTCAGTGACGGCTCTTTCAAGAGCATCAGCGTCCTGCGGCTCCTCACAGCTTTGAAGATTGAAGTTTGAGCAACGGCGGTCCAGGTGGAATATGTGTTGAAGTTTGCCCTCTCCTTTATTCATCCCCTCACCTGCTAATAATCTGTCGAAAACAAGAACAGACGTCCTTGGTGATGTGTTTTCCAAACCTCGGGAGTGTGTCTCCCCTACAAAGTTAGCACAGAGGCTACTGAAGATATGAACAGGAAAACAAACAGTAACAGATAAAAAGAATAATGCAATAAAGAGAATAGGAGCAGGCATTCTTGTAGAACCATATCAGAATTTAATAATTGTCAGCATTACCCACCAAATAACTATAACATGATGATACTGTGTTATTTTTCCAATACAGCGTCTGACTTTCATCTGTCATATCCTAGAAAATGCAGTAATTGAAACACAACTGAGAGTGTTCATGAATCTGAGACCCTATAACATGTTAATTAGCAAAGGGCCATTAATTGCAAATATGGCCGGCTGTTAATATCTCATAATTAAAGGCAAGTATTTATTTTAATAGAAATGCAATTATCCTGCAACAAGTGGCACTTCATAAAACTCTACTAATGCCCAGACCTTGCAATGAGTGGGCAGGTACAAGAGCGGGGAATCAAATTCTGCATTCTCTCTGGCACCACTCATATGGAACAATTCAGCAGAATTACCATGTCACAGGTTTCTGAAGATGAAGGACCAAAGTGTGCTTCAGCTTTGAAGGCTTTAACGTCTCACTCTCATTTTGGGGTCTGAAGAAGTATTGATCACTTATGTTATAATTGTCATTTGGTCATTTTTGAGTTAAGCTAACAGGGCTGAGCTGAGTTGTGGAGACAGAAAACCCGATTGGATGATCAGACAGTGGCTATATGCTCTGCTTCTGCTTAGGGGAATATTTAAGGTTAAAACAACTGCTCTGAGTTAAAGGTTCAGCTTTCTTTTTTTTAAAATAACTGTTTGAGTGACAGGCCTTTTAATGTTAAATCATGCTTAAAATCCCTGCGCTGCCTCCCTCACTTTTTGTACCTTTTGATTTCATCTTTCAGTACGTGGTCTCCCTGGACCAGGGCAAGTTTGCCAGTTTGACGATCAAAGGTGTTTCCATGGAGGATTCCGGCAGATATACCATGATTGTCCAGAACAAATACGGAGGAGAGTCTGTGGATATAGTGGTGAGTGTCCCTGCTGTGTACCACAAATTACTGGATTTGCTCAGAGCCGTGAAATGTTTCCGACCATCTGCGGCACAAATCTCGTCTTTTCACGGGGGCCTGATAGTGAGATGTGTTTGTGATTTGTAACTCAGAGCCGCCCTGAAGCTGACCTTGGGATGCTTGCCTGCCCATGATTTCTACTGTTTTATTATTGATCCTTACGTGGGATATTTTTTAATTTAAAAACCAAAATGATGTGTCTATGTTTATATGGGTATTGCCACTTTAAAGTTATTGTGTGCTTTTTAGTTGACAGTAGAAAAATACACATAAGGAAATATTTATCACATTAAAGGACTAATAGGTAAGATATCCTCTAAAAAAGGATACAATGACCTCACTACATCATCAGACATTAAGCAAACACACTATGATGGAGTGGAGAAGTTTCCATTCTGGTCCATAATGGTCTGTTTTTCTTTTTGACCAGAGATGTAGCCAGTTTTAAGGCACCCCCACACATCTGTTTTGAACATCCCTCAGTTTGCCAGGAAAAACAGCAAACACAACAGGTGTTGCAGTGCGGGAAGTGGGCAAGCCAACAGGTTCAGATATGAGTGATTCTACTCGACCTAAAAGTTCTGCATTTTTCTAATAAGCTTGGTGACGTAGAAACGTGGTATAACATGGAAACATATCGGAGATGATTTTGAAAAATGGGGAGAGCTTAGAACACAGAAAGGTGTCATGACCGATGTAGGACTGGTTAAACACTGAAGCTCCTGTGTCCATGATATGACAACATGCATACACATAGGAGTAGGGCAGGGGAAGACAGCTCTCTTCAATGTCTTGAATTAAACTGCAGTACCTATTTTAAATGCTAGGTGTCCAAGTTTCATATGGCTTCTTTTAATTCTATGAACGTTCTGTCCCTTTTTTCCTCTTCAGGTCAGCATTTACCGCCACGGAGAGAAACTTCCTGAGGCCAAACCCACACTGACCCCGAAAACAATCATCCCACCCAAACTCCCCATTGAGATGCCTCAGCCCAAGACCCAGCCTGCTCCTGCCCCCTCCTCTCCTAGCTCCGCCCCTCCAAAGGCTACAGCAGGAAGAGGAATGAAGAGCCCCACTCCCACGAGGAGGAAGTAGAAAGCATGACAATCAACAGTGAGAAAGAAAACCTGTTCAAACACACAGTCCACACAGTCAGTTATTGGTGTTTGTTATATTGAAAATGAATTGAGTTTTAAGATTTCAGTGTACGGAGACAAAACAAAAAAAAGTATTAAAATAAAGTTCAAAGCTAGTTCATGTCAGAAAATAACGTATTTAGACATGAGTTTAATTAAGTGAAATTAACTGAATTCAAACTGAATAAAAAATTTGATGAAAAATAAAATAAATGTTTTTCATTTCAATCCTGGATTCTAAGTTAAACTGAACAATTGAATGTGTCATATGGGCCGCGGTGTGTACACATTCAGAGAAATGTTATTTGTGTCTGGCTTGAATAAAGACTGATTTAAACAGAGACTGATTCATAAATAAACAGAGCTTAATTCACTTTCTCTCAACATTTCATGACATAAACATCACATGTAAACTTGCAACTTAAGCTAATGCTAATGCAATAGCATTGATAACCTCTTATCAGTGTCCTGCTGAAAAACAAACACACTTTTTTTCATTAATCCTTGCATGTTTGATGGTTTTCATAATGGCAATGTATCTGATCGTGCTTAGAGAGACCATTACAGGATTTTCTCGTTAACCCCTCACACACCCTCACACCACCGTCACCCTCTGAAGACGAGGCCAAGCAGAGCCATGAATCTGGAGCGAGGCAGGTCCATTCTGCGTGTTAGGAGGGCGGCATGCTGATCACTGCATGTGATCAATAGTTTTGCACGGTCTTTCAGTTGAGTCATGAGATGTGTTTTATACAAGATAAAATGTATTTTCCCAGATCACTGCTGCATCCAACAAGAGGAGGGTTCACACTTGTTCTTAGCCTTCTCTTTAGAAGGGATGCTAACTATCAGAGGGAACATGTTACACAGTTATGATGCTCACACCTCAACCTATGAATGCAAATATATCACACAGTCCTCCTTAACATCACCATGGTGAGATATTGCAGAAGATCAGCTTGCAATGAATCACCACTGAGTAAACCAGAGCCATGGAGCAGCAGAGTCACAACAACACTGCTGCTGCTGACAACTGTCAGAACTGAATTCTGCTGAATATTGACTCCGACTTAAAGCACCAACAGATATGGGTAAAATCTATATGCACTCTAGCTTCCAGCTAAATATCAATTATGCACAGTTCTCCTGGTCATCAGCCAAAAGCAGATACACATCTGAGCACTGGGTCAGGTTTGAGGTGCAGGAAGAAGAAGTGATGGCAGAGCTGATGAAAAGATGGCTGATGAGATTTGTGCTTCATTAAAGCTGATGAGAGGAGAAAAGCCGACGCAGGGATTGAGGGAGGGGAGGAGGGTGAATTTGTTGTTTCTGTGTTTGCTGTTGCTAATAAAAGAAAGAGATTACACTTTGCTGAGCCTGTTTATTCGTTCTGTCAGAGAGAAAGAGGGCGAGAGAAAGGAGACGGATTGTGAGAATGAGAAAACCGGGATAATGGAGAGGCTGAAAGAGAAGGAGGGAAGTGAGACTGCGAGGTTGCTATTGTTTTGTGTTACTTTTTGCCGCTGATGTGTCTGCTCCGGCGGGGGGAGACATGTCATGCCTGTTAACAAGAAGAGAATGAGTGTCGTGATTGAATGAAATGGAGGGAGATACAGTAAGAGGAGTGCTGTGTGTGTGTGTGTGTGTGTGTGTGTGTGTGTGTGTGTGTGTGTGTGTGTGTGTGTGTGTGTGTGTGTGTGGGTAGGCTTGTGTGTCAGTTATTTTGCTATTATCTTGTTTGTTAGACACGAAGACAAGTCTCATCATGTCATCAATTGTGTGTATAAATTTAAAAGGAAGGAAGAAACGCACTGAGACAAAGTGTGTGTGATGAATGCAGATAATTCAGTGTTGCGTGGCAAAAAAGGACTTCTGAAGTGTGACAGAGAAAGACAGGAAGAGGGTGAGACCAGCGTGTGTGCGTGTTTGAGGGAGGGAGAGAGAGAGAGAGAGAGAGAGAGAGAGAGAGAGAGAGAGAGAGAAAGAGAGAGATCTGAATCATTTTGATGTTTCGCTGATCATCTGCTGTGAGATCATTTTCCTGACTTTTTAATTAATTTTCACATTTTTAATCAACATAATTACAGAGAATCCTGGATGTTACCATGACAACCAACTTTTAATTTCAATAAACTTGGTAAAGGACTCATTTCTGTGAAGCACACAGGCAGCCTGTGCACTCGACGACACACAAATAGATGCAGCATACAGACCCACAACCTCACGCACGCACGGCCATACGTACAAACACACACATATAGACGGCTGCTATCTAAATGGAATAGCTAGCCAGTACTGATAGCATGAAATTGTGTTTCCAAATATAACACCGTGTCATTGGAGTGTGTTAGTGTGTGTGTGTGTGTGTGTGTGTATGTGTGTGTGTGTGTGTGTGTGTGTGTGTGTGTGTGTGTGTGTGTGTGTGTGTGTTGAAAATAAGACTATAGAATAAAGGTTTTTCCACGGTCCTCCACATGGGGGCACTATTGTAACATCCACACACACATAAATACTTTTATTCACTTTTAGGCACATGCACGCACCCAAACACACACACGCACGCACGCACACACGCACACGCACACACGCACACACACACACACACACACACACACACACACACACACACGGATATGGATAGACAGGCCTGTCCTAATTAAAGCAGCTCTGTTCAAACAATGAGATAAACTAGGAGCAGAGACACTTTGCGGGTGTGTGCACTGACACGTCCACATTTTAAAATAATGCTATTACACACTTTTACTTTATACACACACACAATTGCAATTTGCATTGTGGGGGTGAATGCTGATAATTATTGTGATGATGATATGGATTATGGCAGATTTTTGCCTGAAAGAAAGAGAGGAGGAGAGGCGTGAGGAGCAAGGAGAGAGCGAGAGAGGAACTAATAGAGGACAGAGTAACAGAGTTAGAGAAAGAGGAAAACAAGCAGCATGTTATTCTACCAGCTTGTCACACTGTTTCAGCACAGATGATCACCTCTTTACAGTGAGAGGAAGGACGGCTATAGGAGAAGAGGGAAGGAAAGGTAAGAATAATTCAGAGAGGATAGGGGAAAGAGCGAATGGGAGGGAGCATGAAGTGACAAACAGAGGTGTGAGAGACAAAACAAGGAGGGGTGATGGGAGAGTATATAAAAAGTGAGACAAGCAGGAGAGCAGAATAGGGAGTAAAAATGGGAGAGGGTTGTTCAAAAACCCAGCAGCTTTAAAATCTGAACTCATTTTGAAAGTGTCTTGCATCAGATTCCCATTGTTGACTTTCACCTTTGCTCGACCCGCACTCATAACATTCTTGTAAGACAATCAGTCAACAGCGAGGTGTTACAACTGAAATTAACCTTCCTGTTTCACCTCTGACACCAATCAAGAAATCAAACACGGGATCTTAAATATGAAGTTTGACATCAGGAAAACAAACTTGAACATGTCCTTTCACCGATCAAAGTGGGAAAATTTGGAATTTGTAAACCCCTCACACCGCCTAAGCCTAGCTGACCATTGGTACCGTCTAACCTCTGGACTGGGATTTCCCTTCAGATCGGTGGAAGATCTAGAGCAAATCCACTCAGTAATCCTCCACTGTGCCTACAGCTTTACTACTGCAGTGTTTGCTCTGGGCAATACAAATGAGGTCATATAGACAGTATAATGTAAAACTGATCCACAGCGGAGCAAAGGACAGGGTCAGAGAAAGTGGCAGCCACAGGGGCTGAAAGGAAGTGGAGGCTGCAGAAGTGGCAAAAAGTGTAGTTCCTGGAGTGGCCACTTGGGGCTAGCTACAAAAGTGAGTAAATCCTCATTAATTCCTTATTTAAAAACCCAACTTCACAGCAGATTTTCAACATTCACAGCCTGGTATTAACAAAGAAATATTATAATAATAACTGACCTGTTTGAATTGCTTTTAGGCTGAAAGTTATGTAAGTTAATTTGCCTTACAGCCTCTGCAACAGCAACAAACTGCAAAAATAAGAGAAAGACAGTCTTGAATGAACATCAGTGTCTTACACTGCTAATGTGACTGTCTTGTTCTTAGAAACGTGGCTTATTACTTCCTGCTAAACCTAGTTTAAAGTTAAATATTACTCAACAAAGAATGAAGCTTTGCTGCCACATTATGAAAACTAAATATACAGCTCATACCAGACATAAAATGTTATCGCTTACTCTTTACAGAATACTGCTTCTGTTTAGCACATCTAATCTACTCTGCTCCTGCTTAATGTAGCAACTAGCTTCAAGTAGAATAGCCACAGATGGTAGCGATAGATAGCTTCCTTAATTTCTGACATATTGTAAACATGAAAACATGCCTTAAAACATGAATACAAACTTAACCTTACTACAAAGCGCTTGTGCTCACCTGCACAAATAAGAAAAGAGAGTGTAATGAACATTTGCGTCTTGTACTGCTATGAAAGCTGTCTTCTGCTAAACAACCTTGCTGACTACCTGCCTAACCAGATGTACAGCTGATAATGACACCTACTGGCCAAAATGAGTATTGCACTGCAGCTACCTAAGTCTGATGCAGGTGTTTTCTTCCCGGCTTATGTACCACAAAGTAGCCTTACTTGATAAATTAACCTTAACCAGAATTGTAGTCATGGCAGTGTGGGGTGGGGGCAATGTGTAGTTGAAGGATAATCTTAATTGGGGCTTTGTTGCTTGGAGTGGCAGGTGGACGCTGCTAGCAGTATTTTTGGTTTCACATCGGCTAATTCAGTCACTGAACCAAACTCCGTCATGTTTGTGTTTTTGGTGCCTTTTTGGGTTTGTGTTTGTTTAATTCTCCTTCTGTAACAGACTATCCAAGAAGTTTGTGCTTATTGTTTTAGTTGAGGTATATGTATTAATATATGAATACATTGGCATTTGTGTGAAGTATCGCTGTTACCACTCACCATCACCAGCTTGTTAGCTTGTTCATTGTTTTCTGCATATTTATGTATTAGTGGTTGCCTTTGTGTAGGAGTCAGGATTGTTTGTGGGAGCTCCTTCGCTTGTTTTAATGACGAGGTGTTCCACACACGCTTTAAGCTTTTAAAAATAAAAATGATCAACTCAGGGATACAGATACAGATACATGTTTTTCTGTGAGGTAACAATGATTGACTAGCAAATAAGACTTATAAATAATCCCCTTCCTCTCTCCAGCAACACCCTCGGGTCCAAATATGGCAACTTCTTTCCCCCTTAAAAAACTAAATGGTGGCGGTCAAAATGCAGAACTTGACGGTTCAAAAAGGCAGTCAACAAATCAGAGGGTGCCGTCATAGCAGCCAAGTCCATTCCCTCATGAGCATCATAGGGAA